AGCTGCAGAAGAGACACACGTGCACAGACGTGGGTGAGCTGCGCAGCTACCTTGGCTTGCAGATCACCCGGGACAGAGCACGCCGCACCATCACACTGACGCAGTCACACATGGTGCAGCAGGTCCTTCAGCGCTTCGGCTTCACCTGGTCCTCGGCATAGGCCACTCCTCTGGCTACAGGCCACTCGCTCTCAGCTCCACCTTCGGACGAGTCTGTAGAGCCGGGTGGTCCTTACCCAGAGCTAGTAAGCTGCCTCATGTGCCTGATGACCTGCACTCGTCCTGACCTTGCGTACCCTCTTGGCCTTCTGGCTCGCTACGTGGCTCCTGGTAGGCACCAAAAGGTGCACATGGATGCTGCTAAGAGGGTACTGCGCTACTTGTGCAGTACATCGAGCATGGGGCTCGTGCTTGGAGGACGGGGCGACGTTGTCCTCACTAGGCACTCGGACGCTTCTTGGGTTAACGACCTGGCTACGCAGCGGACGTCACAGGGTTACACCTTCAGTCTTGGCTCTGGCTTTGTTTCTTGGCAGTCTACACGCTCGTCTTCAGTTCTCAGCTCCAGTTGTGAGGCTGAGATCTACGCCACAGCCATGGCTGCACAGGAGTTACGCTGGCTTACCTACCTGCTGGCTGACTTGGGAGAGAGGCCTCGTTCTCCTCTAGTTCTGTACGTCGACAACAAGGCTGCCATTGCCTTGTGTCAGGAGCACAGACTGGAGCACAGAACGAAGCACATCGCTCTGCGTTATGCTCGAGAGTTGCAGCAGCGTGGTCAGCTTCGTGTCGCTCACGTGCCCACTCGGGCCAACACTGCTGATGTGTTCACCAAGGCCCTTCCGGCTGGTGATCATCAGCGCTTCTGCACTGTTCTAGGCCTGGTGCCTATGTTTCCTCACTTGCTGTAGACTCTGGTTGTACTGTGATCTATATATGTATACCTGCATGTTTACTCTTGCTAGGTAGTGATCACTGTACTGTTGTTGTTGCATATATTCCTCTGCATGTGAACTGGCCTTGTGGCCCCTTTGCTTGTGCTCGAGTGTGTGGTGACGTTGTGATCCACCCCGAGCTTGCTTTGCTTTGCTTTTCTTGACTGGTCTTGTGACCCCTTGTTCTCCCCCACTTTGCCTATGGGGGTGTGTCAAACTATATATGTGTTAGTTCTGTGTAGGCTATAGTGGGATAGCCCATATGGGGCACAACCCGAAGTTAGGGTTAGTACTTGTACCCACATTTCATTCAATGCAACCATTCTTGCTTGCTATCTTGACAGTATTTGGGGATGTTTTGGGTGTCTTATAAGTCTTATAAATGGAAACTTTTTTTAACTACTTAGAAATATTTTCACGCATCTTGAAAAGAGTTTCTCATTCTTAGTGTGGATGTTGCGAAGGTGCCACTTCGGCAACCATTGTTCGGGACGCCACGTCATCCCGTATACTTGCAGAGGCAAATTTGGTAGTACGTGAGTCAGCACGTGGCAGAATTCGCGTGTCGCAAGGGAAAAAATGTACGCGGTATTTCAATTTTCACTATAATACATTGCAGTTTCGATTATAAGACACATATGTCTTATCTCGTACACACAAATAGGTGCCGTATAAAAAGGCTAGCCTGTTTATAAGAAACACCCGTATAATAGACAACCCCTGTCTACTATTCAACATTGTCTTATATCCGGGCGATGACGGTAACTCCGTCATACAAAAATCACTTGCATACAATTTCGCGCTGTCATCCACACGTCAATCACGCGGGAGACGTCGAACATCCACGCCCTCAACAGCTAACATCAACCACCAGTTTCAACCACACTCTTCTGCAGCACCAACAACCAGGGACATCTACATCAATGGAACGAGCAACCGTCATACACGACATTCCGAAACCCAACGGCATGGCGATCGCATCGCAACCAACCAACGCCACATCTCTCAGCAATTCGTCGAGGCCATCAACCACAACAAGACTCACACGTCTTCACCGCTCCTAACTACACATGTCTCAGTAAACCCAACTGTAATGAAGCACGTTGCCTTTGCAAGAACAGAAAGCAAGCTTTCTCAATATGAAATTTTTTGAAAGTGTGTTACACTTTCTAAAAATGAATATTTTTAAAAGCTGTAACGCTTTTCAAAATTGTGTATTTTGAAAGCGAAGCGGCTTGTAATGTAGCAATGGTCATCAGCGAACCGTGCTAAACGCCCATTTTGGAGTACAAAACGTGGGCTGGAGGTCATTTCCCTCCACCCACGTCTCTCATTTTCAAACGGTTTAGTCAAGTTTCGACTTCCCAATTCCAAGCTGGCGAAGTTGAAATCACTACCTCGCATTCAGTCTCCGTCGACACTCCTTTCAGATATTTTCGCTCACAACGCGGCTACAATGGCACTTAACGGCGACAACGGTGACAACGCCAACGCCCCAATTCGTCCCGACGACGGAAATTTTACCCGCGATCCCGCGGGCGAACGTCGTAACAAGCGCCGGGCAGACGACGAGGAGTCGACCCCGACCGCCGTCGAAGTCCTGCTGCGCGAGGCCGACCTCGCTGGGACACGCGCCCCTGGGGGGGCTCGAGCGCACGTGGCCCCTAAGGGCCTGAGGCGCCGGCCACCGCCGAGGGTGCCAAGTCAACGCCGGCCAGCGCGACCGGCATCCCCCGTCAGCGTCAGCGCCGCAGGCAGGCACACGCGCCTGACGCGAGGCCTCAGGCGCACGTGGGCCCTGACGCGTCTCAGGCCCCTGACGCGCCTCAGGCCCCTGACGCGCCTGTGGCCTCGCCCGTCTTCACCTCGGCCCAAATGCAGCAGCTGTTGTCCCTCTTACAACAGCAAGTCCCCGCCGTTACGGAAGCAACCGCTACACCAAACGCGACTTCAATTTCTGCTAAAAGCGCAAAGGAAAAAAGGGAGACGGTGCAACGCGCTCGCACGGCAAAAATCGCACGCACCGAGGGCGCCACTGTCAAGGCTACCCCGGGACCGGAAAATCTCGCCGACAGCGACACTTCAGACGACGAAGCTGGTGAGGCACCTGCTGATAATGCATTTTTTTCGACCACCGAGCACCTTCCCCCTCTTCCCACCTCCAACCCCAACCTCACCGCATCCTCATTCAAGAACGCGGCTGTCCGTGAGCAAGCCGAGCTCCTCGAGGACCTGCGCGCTTACCTGATGCACGCGGAACAGAAGGTGCGACTCAACGAACCGGCGAGTGCCATCGAACTTCTCGAGGAGGCACTCACGCTCGTCAACAATCGTTTCAAGCTTCTTCACGTCGCCGATTACACGAACTTCCGCGTTGCTAACCGGTTCAAGATGTACGAGGAGAAGAGCTTGTTCACCTCACGCCCATTCAAGCAAGCCATGGCGGACGTTGCGGCCATGGAACGCGCGCAAGGCAATCTCGGTCGTGCCGCACGCGGTGGAGGGCGAGGAACCGGAGCATTTGGCAACAAACGCGGGCTGCCAATGGACGAAAACGGCAGGAGCTTTCGTGGAACTTGCTTCAAGTGCGGGCAGCCAGGCCACATGGCCAATGTGTGCCCTGAAAATGGGCAGGGACCCCAAGGTCCCGCGCCGGTGGTGTGACCCCTTGAGAGGGAAACCACTTGGGGGCGCCGAGAGGATGTTGCATGGGCAACACGGCGCGCTTAGGCCGCTGGCCAGATCGGTTGAGCGCGTAAAACGGCCGCCGGCCGACCCCAAGTGAAGGGGGTAGGACTAGGAGTCCTAGGTTTTAGCCATGAGTGGCAATCATGAGATCTATGCGTATGGAATATGGGCCGGAAGGGCATGAAATGTGGATGATTGTTGTTACGTGGCCAATGAATAATATTTGAAATGAGACGATGCCATTGCTACAACAAGAAAGCAAGCTTTCTAAAAATGTGCACTGTGAAAGCGCAGCTTACTGTAGCAAAGCAAGGCAACGGCGAATTACTATTCGCCAAGTACATAACGAGGGTTGGAGGCCTTTTGGCCTCCACCCATGTCTTCATTTCGGAACTTCGCAGTTCCATTCCCCACCCACCCACCCTAGTCGTATACTTGTAAAATATATAATTAGGTTGGACGAGAATGATGTAAATGAAATTTTTTGAAAGTGTGTAACACTTTCTAAAAATGTGTATTTTGAAAGCGAAGCTGCTTGTAATGCAGCAATGGCAACGGCGAAGTGCTAGACGCTCTTCGCCAACTATATAGCAGGGGGTGGAGGCCCCACCCACGTCTTCGTTTGAAATTTCAAATGTCTTATTTCATTCTCGTCCGACGACTTCCCGTTCTCCTCAGTCGCTCACTTCTCTCTTAAAATAGTAGGCATTAACTAGATTGACATAGCACAACACACGTTTCAGAAATGTCTTGCGGGTACACCCGTCCGCACAATAGGCGCGCACGTCGAGGCTAATAAGGCGACAGCGCCACTCGCGCACGTGGCGACGAAATCGCCACAAGCACGCGTGGCGACGAAATCGCCACAGGCGCGCGGCGCGCGTGGCGACGAAATCGCCACAGGCGCTCGTGGCGACGAAATCGCCACAGGCGCGCGTGGCGACGAAATCGCCACAGGCGCGCGTGGTGAAATCGCCAGTGGCGCACGTGGAGTCAAAATCGCCAGCGGCGCAAGTGGCGCCAGTGGCGCTCATGGCGCCGAAATGGTCAACATCGCCACTGCCGCATGTGGCTACGAAATCGCCAGTGGCGTGCAAGAACCCAGGGGCGCGTCCAGCGGAAGTCGGTACCAGCAGGCATGATGGCGAAATCTCCAGAAGGCGAGATTCCAGTGGCGCGCCAGAGACAAACTGGCGGCAGATGCGCTTCTGATGTTGAAATTTGCCAACGAATAAATTATTACTTTGCATATGTTCCCACCTCTTCTTCGTTCCTATCTTCGATTCTTGTTCGTCTGCGTTTTTCTCTCATGCTATTTCTTATTTTTTATCGCAGTAAATCGGTGCGAGGCAACTACCTTTGGGTCGCCATGAAAGACTACCGGCGAAGAAAGACTGGGCAAAACATTTGGCACAACCCATGCGCTCCCGTGGGAGATTGGGACCGGGGGCCTCGCGCCAGCCGGAAACGGATCGGTGGGTCCTGTGCGGTGCTGGCCAGTGAGCTCCCCAGGGGGGAGGAGGACCGGTGGGTCCTGTGCGGTGCTGGCCAGCGAGCTCCCCAGGGGGGAGGAGGACCGGTGGGTCCTGTGCGGTGCTGGCCAGCGAGCTCCCCAGGGGGGAGGAGGACCAGTGGGTCCTGTGCGGTGCTGGCCAGCGAGCTCACCAGGGGGGAGGAGGCCCGGTGGGTCCTGTGCGGTGCTGGCCAGCGAGCTCCCCAGGGGGGAGGAGGACCGGTGGGTCCTGTGCGGTGCTGGCCAGCGAGCTCACCAGGGGGGAGGAGGCCCGGTGGGTCCTGTGCGGTGCTGGCCAGCGAGCTCCCCAGGGGGGAGGAGGCCGGTGGGTCCTGTGCGGTGCTGGCCAGCGAGCTCCCCAGAGGGGAGGAGGACCGGTGGGTCCTGTGCGGTGCTGGCCAGCGAGCTCCCCAGGGGGGAGGAGGACCGGTGGGTCCTGTGCGCTGCTGGCCAGCGAGCTCCCCAGGGGGGAGGAGGACCGGTGGGTCCCTTTCTGGCTCGTGAGTTTAGTTATATATTGGTCAAATACCAGGGCTAAAGCCCAAAGTGCAAGGTTTAGACGCGATCACATTTGAGTTGGCTGGTTGAACAAAATTTTGGTGAGTTTGAAATGGTGCACAACTATAGTAGATGAGTACGAATACCAAAGGCTTAAACCTTGACAGATTTACCGTATCCGGATACAAGTTGCATGCACGCTTCGTAATGTGAGCACGGTTGTGACCGCAGCAAGGGTTGGGCTCCTACAAGCATCACATCCATCATTACTCAGAATACTAACGCCCGCTGTCCGTGTCCTCCCATACTGCTTGCGAGTTCGTGTCCGAAGCTCACGTGTGAACCAACGCTTATAAGTAACCACTACTGTGCTACACTCACTTAGGGCGACACTCCAAGGCAACAGCAGAGAATACTGCACCTCGATCAACATCGGTGCCAGCCTTCTTCTTCGCGCATGATTGGAACTCCACCGACATGTCGTCGCATAAACCATCAACAACCTTTACCGTCTCCGCAGCATCTCCCCGTCTCATGTCTCAGAAGACCCATTTGAAACGAAGCTCGTGTCAAACATTATATATGTTGTATTTGTGTAGGCTACAGTGGGTTAGCCTTTAGGGGGTACATTATTCTAGGGTTAGGTATTTGTACTCTCACTTGTTTCTAGTCCACTCACTTCTTCTTTCTAACATGGTATCAGAGCTTAGGTTTAGACCTAGGATCGCTCCTTAGGGCCCACCACACCGTACGACTGTCTGCCTACTAGCGCCCTCGTGCGCCCTACTGTCGGAGCGCCCTCGAGCGCCTCCCCCCAGCGCCCTCGTGCGCCCCTCTTTCACGGCCCCGTAAGGCCCCGCGACTCGCGCGCCGCACCTTAGAGGCCCCTCTCACGGCCGCGTCGACCCTGCACGCAGCCCCTTAGAGGCCCCGTCGGCTCCGTCGACCACGCGCGCAGCCCCTTAGAGGCCCCGTCGGCCCAGTCGACCCCGCGCTCGCCCCACCTAGAGGCCCCGTCGGCCCCGTCGACCCCGTGCGCGCCCCCCCCCCCCTCCTTAGTGGCCCCGTCGGCCCCGTCGACCCCACGCACCGCCCCTTAACGGCCCACCTCACGGCCCCGTCGACCCCGAGAGCAGCCCCTTAGAGGCCCCGTCGGCCCCGTCGACCCCGCGCGCGCCCCACCTTAGCGGCCCCGTTGGCCCCGTCGACCCCGTGCGAGCCCCCCCCCCCCCCCTTAGCGGCCCCGTCGGCCCTGTCGACCCCACGCGCCGCCCCTCAGCGCCCCGCACGCGACAGCCACGGCCTCGCCAGAAGCAGGCCGCCCGAACCGAGCCGCCCAGCCCGAGCCGAGCCGCACCGCCCGAACCGAGCCGCGCCGCCCTCCCCGTACTGAGCAGCACTCTCTGGACCGAGCCGCCCTACCTGAGTCGCGCTGCCTGCTGCTTTTAGGGTTCGCCTGCTGCTACTACTGCTACTGCTCCTGCTACTATACTGCTGCTCCTACTGCTACTATGGCTAGCCCTCCTGTGCTAGCTTTCGATGCTGAGGGCCGCCCAGTGAAGTTTGACACCTGGCTAGATGACCTGCACCTCTTCCTACAGCTCACTGCCAAGGAGGACATCTCACTGTACGATCACGCCCTAGGCCATGCCACTGCCCCTGCTACTACTGCTGACAGCACTACCCGCTCACAGTGGCAGACTCGTGACGCCCACGCTCGCTTTGCTATTCGCAACTCCCTGCCGATAGATGAGCGCGAACATTTTGGCCAGCACAAGACTGCACAGGCACTGTACACTGCTGTCGTTGCCCGCTACTCCTCACCTGCCTCTGCCGCGCTAGGCCGTCTCTCACTCCCCTACCTGTTCCCCGACCTGTCCTCTTTCCACACAGTCGCTGACCTCATCACGCACCTCCGTACTAGTGAGGCCCGCTTCAGTGCCGCAGTGTCAGCAGTGGCAAAGACCAAGTCGTCGACGTACACGAGGATGTAGAACGGCGGCAGCGAAGTGTCGGTGCGTAGAAACAGCGACGGGTCAGCAGTAGAAGGAGCGAACCCAAGAGCCGCAAGTGTAGTCCTCAGTGTGTCGTGCCACTCACGCGGTGGTGGGGGCGGCGGTGGACGCGGCGACGGCAGGGGAGGGGGTGGTCGAGGAGGTGGCGGCGGCGGTGGTGGTCGTGGACGCACTGGCAGTGGCCAGAGCCAGCAGCACACTCCGTCGCCTCAGGAGCTCCGTGAGTGGTACTCTCAGCACGGGGGGGGGGGTGGCCTTAGCTGCACGTACGTCATCCGCACTGGTGACCGCACTGGTCAGACGTGTGGGAGGGCGCACACCACGCAGCGCTGCTTCTCCCGCCTCGACGACGCTTGGCGTACTCAGTTCCCTGATGCCACTGAGCTGCCCCGCTGGGCTGATCTGATGAAGAAAAACATTGATATCTATGCTCTAGACTTTGATGCTATTCTCACTGCCATGTATATGATGTCTACTAGTGGAGAAGGTGCTCAGTACCTGCGTGTTCCGCCCGACCCGGGCATTCGGACCAGTGAGGCTGCCGCTCTAGGTGCTAGTGCGTCTGTTGCCCTAGGTGCTGGTGAGGCTGCCACTCCAGGTACTCGCCTGTCTGCTACCCCAGGTGCCGGTGAGGCTGCTACTCTAGGTGCTAGTGAGTCTGCGCCCCCTGGTACTGAGTCGACTGAGGCACTGCACACCTTCACACTGGACTCAGGTGCTTCTCGCTGTTTCTTTCGTGACCGCACTGCCCTTGAGCAGCTTGCTCGGCCAGTTGCTGTCTCCCTCGCTGACCCCTCTGGGGGTCCGGTCATTGCGACCTCCTCCACTGTCCTTCCTTGTCCTGCGGTCCCGTCGGGCACACTGTCAGGTCTCCACCTCCCCTCGTTCTCTACGAACTTGGTGGCGGGTTGTGCGCTCCAGGACGGGGGTGTTCACCAGTTCACCCCTGCCTACGAGCGCGTGACACACTGCACGTGTGCTCGGACGGGCCGTCACCTGGCTACCTTCACTCGGCAGCCGGGGTCGGACCTGTACACACTGACCACTGAGTCCCCTCAGGTAGCTGCGTCTGCGTCTGCGTCAGGTCAGCTATCGGCCCCCTGCTCGTGTCGCTCTCTGGCGCACGAGACCGTCCTCTGGCACCACCGACTTGGTCACCCGTCCGTGCAGCGCCTTCGTGCCATGCATAAACGGTACCTTGTCTCTGGTCTTCCCAGGGTTCTCCCTCCCCTCCCACCCTCGCCTGCTCCTCCCTGTCTTCCCTGTGTCGAGGGGCGGCAGCACGCCGCTCCTCACTCCTCCTCGTTTCCCCCGACGACTGCTCCCTTGCAGACGCTCCACATGGACGTGTGGGGCCCAGCCCGCGTCCGTGGTCAGGGTCAGGAGAGGTACTTCCTGATAGTTGTTGACGACTACTCGCGCTACACCACGGTCTTCCCCTTGCGCACCAAGGGTGAGGTCCCTGATGCTTTGATCCCTTGGATCCGCGCTTCTCGTCTCCAGCTCAACGAGTGTTTCCACTCGGACTTTCCTGTTCTGCGCCTGCACTCTGACAGAGGTGGTGAGTTCTCCTCCGACCTCTTGGCAGCCTACTGTGCGGATCACGGCATCCGCCAGTCGTTCACGCTTCCGGCCTCTCCACAGCAGAATGGGGTTGCTGAGCGCCGCATTGGTTTGGTCATGGAGGTCGCTCGTACCTCCTTGATCCATGCGGCTGCCCCCCACTTTCTGTGGCCGTTTGCGGTCCGATACGCTGCGCATCAGCTCAACCTCTGGCCCCGTGTCTCCCTGCCGGAGACTTCCCCGACACTGCGTTGGACGGGAGAGGTTGGCGATGCGTCGCGTTTTCGGGTCTGGGGATCTCGAGCTTTTGTTCGCGATACGTCCGCGGACAAGCTCTCCTCCCGCGCTGTTCCTTGTGTCTTCCTTGGCTTTGTCCCGGACGCGTCTGGTTGGCAGTTTTACCACGCCACCTCGCGGCGTGTCCTGCCCTCTCAGGACGTCACTTTTGACGAGTCCGTGCCCTACTACCGCCTCTTCCCCTACCGCACTGCCCCGCTCCCCCCCCCCGCCTCTCTTCCTCGCGCCAGGTGCTGCGGTGGTAGACCCCCTCCCCCCTCAGGGTGCCGCTCCCTCAGGTGTGTCCCAGGTAGACCCGGTTGAGCCTGTCGAGGTAGCTGTCGACTCTCGTCCTGCTAGGGGTGCTGAGCCTGAGCGTGCGGAGCCTGGGGTTGCGGAGTCTGGGGGTGCTGAGCCTGGGGGTGCGGAGCCTGCGGGTGCTGAGTCTGGGGGTGCTGAGCCTGGGGGTGCGGAGCCTGCGGGTGCTGAGTCTGGAGGTGCTGAGCCTGGGAGTGCTACACCTGGAGGAGCTCTCTCCTCACAGCAGCTGCGTGAGTGGTACTTACAGTACTGCAGCCTCAGGAGAGGTGCTTCTGGAGCTAGGAGTGCTGCTGGAGCTGGTGCTAGTGCTTCCCCTCCTAGGCGGGAGCTGCCCTCTCCCCAGCGGCTCCGAGAGTGGTACGCGCGGCGCTGCAGTCTCCGGAGTGGCGCCCCTAGTGTCGCGGACCCTGGTACTGGTGCTGCTGCTGCTGCTGGCGGTGCTGCTGGTACTACTGGAGGTGCTGCTGGTGCTAGTGCTGCTGACGCTGCTGGAGGTGCTGCTGGTGCTGGTGGTGCTGCTGGTGCTGCGGACCCTGGAGTTGGAGCTGCTGCTGGTGCTGAGGACCCGGGCGTTGGAGCTGCTGCTGGTGCTGCGGACCCGGGAGTTGGAGCTGCTGCTGGTGCTGCGGACCCTGGAGTTGGAGCTGCTGCTGGAGCTGCGGACCCTGGTGTTGGAGCTACTGCTGGTGCTGAGGACCCTGGAGTTGGAGCTACTGCTGGTGCTGAGGACCCTGGAGTTGGAGCTGCTGCTGGTGCTGCGGACCTGGGAGCTGGTGCTGCCGGTGTAGCTGGAGACCCTGGAGCTGGATGTACTGGTGGTGCCTCTGCTGGTTCTGGAGGCGCTACGCGGCCGCGGCCGTACTTCGTTCCGCTCCTTCAGCAGGTTCTTGGTCAGCCGCCTCCCCCTAGTCCTGCTCCCTCCTTAGAGTGTCCTCCGCCTGTCCAGTCGCAGTCACAGTTACCGCCTGCCTTACCACTCCCTGGTCCTTCTCCTTACACTGGTCCGACAGACGGTCTCACTGAGCGTCGTGAGCCTGAGTCTCGTCCTGTGTCGCCAGAGTCTCGATCTGCTTCGCCTGTTCGTGCTGCTCGCACTGGTAGTCGTGTCCTGCGTCAGCGTCCGCCTGCTGTCCCAGGCACTCACCAGATGGCACTTCGTCCTTCCACTGCTCCTCAGCGTGTCCCTCTACCGTCTCCTCCTGCGTCCTCTCTTCTTGCTCTTGCTGACCCGGAGTCTGACTCCCTCCGTGCTGCCAGTCCTACTGTCACGCGTCTCCTCGCCACTGTTGTCACTGACCCTACCTTCGAGTCCTCTGCTGCGTCTGCTCTAGTAGCTGATTTAGTTGACTTTGCTGCCGCTTGTCGTCTAGACTACGCCGCTAGCCTTGTCGCTGAGTCTGAGTCTGTCTGTCCTCCGTCCGTCGGGGGTGAGTGTGCTCTTGGCACGGAATTCCTTGAGGACAGGCAGGAGGAGTTTGAGTGCTTTGCCGCTGCTTTACCTCATCTCGTGTCCATGCTTGTTGCCCCTGAGGGAGACCCGGATGCTCCAGACATCCCGACCCCGCGCTCTTACGCTGAGGCGATCGCGGGTGAGTACTCCTCTCAGTGGCAGACAGCCATGGACACAGAGATGGCTTCTTGGAAGTCCACAGGCACCTACGTCGACGAGGTTCCCCCACCTGGGGCGAACATCGTCAGTGGCATGTGGATTTTCAGGGTGAAGCGGCCGCCGGGTTCTCCGCCTGTCTTCAAGGCGCGTTACGTTGCACGAGGCTTCAGTCAGCGAGAGGGAGTTGACTTCTTCCAGACCTTCTCCCCGACCCCGAAGATGACCACTCTTCGGGTTCTGCTGCACGTCGCCGCTCAGCGTGACTACGAGCTCCACTCTCTTGACTTCAGCACAGCTTTCCTACAGGGCAGCCTGCACGAGGAGATCTGGCTGCGCCGCCCACCTGGCTTCACTGGGTCGTTCCCTCCTGGTACCCAGTGGAGCCTCCGGTGGCCAGTCTACGGTCTCCGACAGGCGCCGCGTGAGTGGCACGACACAATGAGGACTACACTTGCGGCTCTTGGGTTCGCTCCTTCTACTGCTGACCCGTCGCTGTTTCTACGCACCGACACTTCGCTGCCGCCGTTCTACATCCTCGTGTACGTCGACGACTTGGTCTTTGCCACTGCTGACACTGCGGCACTCGCCCACGTGAAGTCGGAGCTGCAGAAGAGACACACGTGCACAGACCTGGGTGAACTGACAAGCTATCTTGGCTTGCGGATCACCCGGGACAGAGCACGGCGCACCATCACCTTGACTCAGTCACACATGGTGCAGCAGGTCCTTCAGCGCTTCCGCTTCACGTACTCCTCGCCTCAGCCCACTCCTCTGCCTACCGGTCACTCGCTCTCAGCTCTGCCTTCGGATGAGTCCGTAGAGCCGAGTGGCCCGTATCCAGAGCTTGTGGGCTGCCTCATGTACCTGATGACCTGCACTCGACCTGACCTTGCATACCCTCTTAGCATCCTTGCACGCTATGTCGCTCCTGGCCGTCACCGGAAGGAGCACATGGATGCTGCTAAGAGGGTGTTGCGCTACTTGTGCAGTACGTCGGGCATGGGGCTAGTGCTTGGAGGACGAGACCGAGTTGTACTCACTGGGCACTCAGACGCTTCTTGGGCTGACGACCAGGCTACTCAGCGGTCGTCTCAGGGTTACACCTTCAGCCTTGGCTCTGGTTCAGTTTCTTGGCGTTCTACACGCTCGTCTTCTGTTCTCAGCTCCAGTTGTGAGGCTGAGATCTACGCCACAGCCATGGCTGCACAGGAGTTACGCTGGCTCACCTACCTGCTGACAGACTTGGGAGAGCGGCCACGTTCTCCTCCAGTGCTGTACATCGACAACAAGGCTGCCATTGCCTTGTGTGAGGAGCACAGACTGGAGCACAGAACGAAACATATCGCTCTGCGCTACTTCCTTGCTCGAGAGCTGCAGCAGCGCGGTCAGCTTCGTCTGCGTTACGTGGCCACTCGGGCCAACAGTGCTGATGTGTTCACCAAGGCGCTTCAGCCTTGTGACCATCAGCGTTTCTGTACTGTTCTAGGCTTTGTGCCTACTCTCCCTCACTTGCTCACTTCTTGACTCTGCTTGTACTGTAATCTCTATATATATACCTGCATGCTTACACTTGCTAGGTTGTGATCACTGTACCTCTTGTTCTATTATCAATCTGCATGTGAACTGGTCTTGTGACCACTTGCTTGTGCTCGGAATTTGTGTGGTATCCTTGAGATCCACCCTGAGCTTGTCTTGCTTTGCTTTGCTTTGTCTGGTCTTGTGACCGCTTGATCTCCCCCACTTAGCCTATGGGGGTGTGTCAAACATTATATATGTTGTATTTGTGTAGGCTACAGTGGGTTAGCCTTTAGGGGGTACATTATTCTAGGGTTAGGTATTTGTACTCTCAATTGTTTCTAGTCCACTTACTTCTTTCTAACAGCTCGTTGCCATTGCAAACACAAGAAAGCAAGCTTTCTAAATATGATTTTTTTTTTTAAGTGTGTAACACTTTCTAAAAATGTGTATTTTGAAAGCGAAGCTGCTTGTAATGCAGCAATGGCAACGGCGAAGTGCTAGACGCTCTTCGCCAACTATATAGCAGGGGGTGGAGGCGATTTGGCCTCCACCCACGTCTTCGTTTGAAATTTCAAATGTCTTATTTCCCACCCACCCACCCTAGCAAAAATTGCATGTTGTCATCTGTAACGTAGGTACCATATATATCCCGGACGAGAATGATGTAATGCCCATTTGAAACGAAGCTCGTTGCCATTGCAAACACAAGAAAGCAAGCATTCTAAATTTACTGCAACTGTAATGAAGCACGCTGCCTTTGCAAGAACAGAAAGCAAGCTTTCTCAATTTATAAATTGTAAAAATAGTGTTCAGTGTACTGCATCACTCACTCGTGTGAGTTTCGTGTTGCCCACCATTTCAATTCCAAGAGAAGCGCAGTGTGCCCCACCAGTGGCGGGGCTGGAGCACAGCTCTGTCACAGAGTCGTTCGGCTCTCCCATATCCTCGGAAACGAACTGTCACATACGGTAGTATCGTGGCGAAGGCTGTTTTACCCGCGTTTTGAATTAGCTTTTGCCCCACACACATTCTCGAAAAAAAACATTTTTTTTTTAATCGGGTTTTAAGCTTTACCCATTTCATTCACAATTGTTCATTCCACTCCCAACACACCTGAGCAGATTTATTTGCCAGGCCCACTACACAGGAAACATATAATACATAATAAACACAGGCTTTGCTATCAAAACCCACCAACCAATGCCAGTAACCCTGTGTGGCATCGCGTGTTTCCATGCCTTGAAGCAAATCCGTTTATTTCTATAGGAGCCACCCACCACTATGACTCTACCGTAGTTTATTCCCAGAGGAGGAGCTGCAAGGACTCAGTGGACACAAAAACCAGGCAGGCAGTTTCGCACCAAAGTACTGGTCTGTATGAGGACCGAATGGGTACCGTACCGTATCTATCCGAGGATAGTACTTGCAAAAAAGTATTCCTGAAATCAACCATGCATTAAAATGGAGCCGTGTGAAGTGAGCAGGAGGTCACATGAGGATGAGGCACAAAGAATCTCCTTTGATTTGTCATTGCCAGGGCTCAGAGGAGAGAGAGAGAGAGAGAGAGAGAGAGAGAGAGAGAGAGAGAGAGAGAGAGAGAGAGAGAGAGAGAGAGAACGAGAGGGCCAGGCGTTGGCAGGGCATTTGTGAAGAGAGGAGGAGTGTGTTTGTGAGCTCATCTTAGTGTGTAGGTTAGCGGGAGTAAGAAGAGACTGCGCCCACTACGAGAGAGGCCAGTTGCGATGCAGTAAGTGGCCGTGTCACATTGTTGACAATAAACACACCGAGAGTGAGAGCCGAGGAGAGTCGGGAGAGGGAGTCGTGAGCTGCATCAGTGAGAAACTCTGGCCAGAACCGAATCTCTCCACTCCACTCTCCTGAGAAACACCAACATGAGGCACGAGGAGGAAAGCCCTAGGTAGGTAGCGCCATAGAGAAGCTTGTGCTTGATATGTAGGGTGGCAGGCAGGCATCGGAAATGCCTCACCGTTTTGTGATAGACCGTCTTGCAGGTAGAAGGCTAGTAGATTGTGATAGACTGACAGCATGGTCAGAAGCGGCTGAAGCGGCTGCTGGAAGAACAGCGTCAGAAGACAGTGGAAATTGCAAATTAGTCGCAGCAGCAGCAGCGGACGGTGGAGAGAGCAGCAACCACAGCGTACAACTGAGAGCAGGAGAGAAGGAGAGCAGCAACCACAGCCGATGCAGCTGTTTTTGGTTTAGAGAAGGAGAGGCCAAGGAAGGGTACAGGGAGTTAGAGCAGTGCGACCGTGAGCAGTATTTGCAAGGCCTGTCAGAGCGAGAGCAGTCAGAGCGGGAGCAGTCAGAGCGAGAGCAGTCAGAGCGAGAGCAGAGTGTGGTGGAGAATATCCGCAGAAGTGATGATCCCCACCACTGTCATGCCTGGCTTGTCCCCCTCTCGTGGAGCAACCACAGGCAGTCGAGCCACCTGCAGCGCAGCACAGGGACAGCGCAGCACAGGGACAGCGCAGCACAGCGCAGCACAGGGAGACGAGAGGGACAATGAGATGGGAAGAAGTGGGGGAGGGAAGGAGGGAGAAGGGATGGAGAAGCTGGGCGGAATGAGAGGAGTAGAGAGATGTATACAGCATCGAGGAGTTGAGGCATGGATGAATCATGAACGACGAGATAAGAGCACAGAGCCACACGTTCATAGATAAAAGGTAGCAGTTTACAGAGAGTTCTGTGGTGGCGAGGAAGACAAGGGAAGGGTGGGAGGGATGAGGAGAAGGGGGAACTGGGCAAGACAAACTCAATCTACACTCGCACGCACCCCCCAACCCACATCCATTCTCACCCGAGCATGCCATCCAAACCCCATGCAAGAGCAGGAGATAGAACGAACGAGAGAGTAAGAGAAAGAGCACCAAGGGCGGAGCGGGGCGTACATTGCGGTTGATCATGATGGTGGCGGCGTCCGACAGCAGCGCGCCAGCCTCCACAAAGAGCGCAGGGGCGGTCATGGCGTCCGCCACGGTGCGGCTGCGGATCTTGCCCAGCTGCGCGCGCAGCGACGGGCTCATGGGGCCCTCGTACGGCTCGCCCATCAGATCGTCCTCCTGAAATGGATGGAGGCGATGAGGGTTGGCAAGGGGGAGGGGAGAGAAGAGGGGAGACGCGGAGAGAGAGGGGGAGGCGGGGAGACGCAGGAGTTGAGGTGATTTAGAAGGCGCAGCGAGGATGCAGTGCTGACGCGAGTTTGGCAGAGGGAGAAACGCGGAAGGCCGAGGGGAAGGGTTAGAGGGACGGCAGGAAGACCGAAAAGTGTTCTGAGACCTCGCGTGGATGGTCAGATGTGCAGCAGAGCAGAGGAAAAAACGGGTGATATGGAAGCGAGAGCGGGCACGAAAGCGAGGGAAAGCGGGTGATAGGATGCGAGGGCGTACCCCAGGGTACGGCACAGTCTCCTTCCACAGCACGTCGCGCTGCGACAGCACGCCCACGAGGCGCCCCGCGCCGTCCGCGCCCGCGCCCGCGTCGTCGTCGTATGGCTCCACCACGGGCACTCCGCTGACCGCGCACGCCGCCATCAGCTTCGCCGCCGCCTTGAGCGACGCGCGCGGATGCACGCACACGGGGCGGCGCGTCATGTAGTCGCGCACCGTCGGCGGCGCGGCGACGGCGGTCGGCGATTGGTCGTCATCGGAGAATCTGCGGAACGGGAGGAGGCGCGACACGGCGGAAGGGAAAGAGCCACGTGAAGGCGAAGACGAACGGAAAGAAAGAAAGAAGAAGAGATTAAGAGGGAAGGAGTCAATATCTCATTGCTCGACAAAGGACGCCCAGCATCGAAGGTCAAGCGAGGTCCAGTAGCGCGAATTCCCGAGGGAGCAGCCGCGCAAAGAGAGCGAACCCAACGGCGCGAAGAGCGAATTCAGCAGGTCGAAGGGCGGGCGAGTTCAGTACCGCTCGTCTGTGAAGTCGAGCTCGGGAAGGGCGCTCTGCCACATGGCGGCATCCGCGAGAAACACGCTCCCGCTGCTCGTCCCCACGCTCTGCCATAGATTCTCTTCCTCCTCCACCGCCGCGCCTCCCGGCTTCTGTTGCTGCTGTCCGGGAAGTTCGCGTACCAGCGTTGTTTTCGCGGCAGCGGCGGCGGTGGAGATTTTGGCGGCGGCCGCGGCGGCGGCGACAGGAGTCAACCCGCTGCCTGAAGCCGCGGCAGCGGCGGCGGCAATTGGGCGGTCCGAAGCCGCAGCACGGACGACGGTCGAGCGGCGAAGAAGCTTCGATTCCCGCGTGCCGGGGCCGGCGAGAAAGCCCGCCAGGCCGGCGCCGCGCGGGCGCTCCCGGAATGGCGGCGGAGCGCAATTCTTTGAACGAATCATCGTCATGGGGCTATTGCGGCGCTTTATTTTCCCGTCACTCACTGCCTGAAGACCAGTGCCAGTGCCAGTGGTGGTAAGAGCGGCCATCGCGGGAGGCATCGTTCCGCGGAGGCTCTTCGGTCGGGCTGCGGAACCGAGGAGGTTCTTGCAAGCGGTTGAGGCGGTAGCGGCGGTTGCGGCGGTGGCGGCGGCGGTGGACATGATTAGTACTTCTGAAGTGGCGCGCGAAAGATGGTGCTGGTGGTGGGAGAGGGGGGTGTGATGAAGCCAGTGCTGCTCCGAGAAACGAATGGCAAGGGACGCGAGTGGCGAGTCGCGAGTCGCGGGAAACGAGTTAGCGTTAGACGGACAGTGACGCCAATTCGCGGAGGTTGATGGTTGATGCTGGCTGGTGCGGTGCGTGCGATGAAGGAACAGAACAGCCGTGAGCCGATGCTATATCTTGAGGCAGGGAAAATCCTTCAGAAGGTTCCGACGATGCGGAATGAAGACCCAAATTCGACTTCTCTTCCTCTTCCTCTTTCTCTCCTCGTTAGCTCGTGTGCCCCAACGAACAGGTGCGCGCTTGCGGGAAGCACGCGCTCGAGTCGTCGTGGAAGCTGCCTCGCGTTGGATGATACTACTATTGCGCCGGGAAGATTATTATCTGAGTCTTGAGTCGACCCAAAACGCGCCAGGAAGTTCAATTGCGGGTTCAAGCGCTGCTGCGGCGGGGGAAGATCCTGCCGGAGCTAAATCACGCAGCGAATGGCGTCGCAGAGTCCGACTCGTTGATTAGGATTAGGATTTTGGCGTGCCTTGAAAGGCAGCGGCAGAACTCGAGAGATGATGGGCCTCGGAGACGTAAATGGTCTTTAGGCGAGGAACAAAGGCGGTGCCGTTTGCTCTTGAATGAGGAGGTTGTGGTAGAGAGCGCGCCTCGCAAACTGTCCTGTCGAAACCACACAGAGAAAGTGCCGATTGTGGAATTGAAGCAAGTGATTTGAATGTAGGCTAGTTGCCACATTCACTGCTTCGGTCTCCAAATTCCAACCAAGCTGAATTGAAGTGGAGGGCTGGTGGGGGGAAGGGCGGAGGAAGAGGGGGAGGCGGATGTGAGGAAGAGAGGTGAGGGGGAGGAAGAGGGAGGAGGAAGGGGAAGGGGAGGGGCAGATTGGAGGGAGCGGGGAGGCGAGGGCGGGGTGGGAGGGGTGAGGAGCAGGGCTCTCGATTCATTTTGGGGCACGCTGCCTGATCCGAGTTGTGACCCACTACACCCTGCATCTGCAGTGTGCCTTGGCAGTCGTACCCAAGAAATGGCAGTGTGTTTTTTTTTTCGAGGTCGAATCTAGCAGGGCGGGTCCCGCAATCGACCCTGCCATTATCGATTGATCCCAGGAGCCAGAAAATATGGTCGAGGACCTTTCTGGCCCGATTTTGAAGTGTGTTCCTCAGCCGACAAAGAGGGTGGTCGTCTCCTTGCGTAAGTGCGTAGTGGTTGATGTTTTGGTGGTGTGTGGTGGGGAGATGAGAGGCCTGCCGGTGGGTCTTCTAGGTGCGGTCACCAGCGATAACACGCCGCTCTCTGTGCTAGATTGAATCTCATGTGTTTCAAGGACTTAGCCGAGTCTGGAATTTCAGTCTCGAACGCTACTGGGCACATTTCAGTCACAAACGCCACTCACTGTGCTAGAGCTGAATCTCTGGTGTTTCAATTACTTAGCCGATTCTGGAAATTTCAGTGACAAATACTACTGGACACATTTTGGCTTAGAAGAAAAGCCGCGCAGTTAGTGAATTCTGCAAAAGGGAAAAAGTAGGCAGGGTATCTGCCGTAACGATTCGGGAGACGGCAGTGTTGCACATAAGCGTAAACAGCATTTTCAGGGTTTGTTTTTAGCCCTGCCTGACGATAACAGGGTGGACATCCAGCCAAACCCAATTCTAGCAGTGTGGGTCCAAAATTTCACCCTGAAATGCAGGGCAAACACGGTAAAACGCCCTGATATCCTGAGGCCTGGTGAGGAGAGGGGAAGATGAGGCTTTAGAGGAGAGGAGGGGCAGTTTTGAAGGGGCGTCTTGCTGTACGACGAATGCGGTTTCCGCAAATCGTACAGCGGCACAAAGTGGGGCAGGCTCTGCGCTTTGCGTCGGTGTTGTGCTACTGTAGCATGCTGTGGCGGCGAGGGAGCGACGCGGTATGGCGAGGGATGTGCTGCGCTGCCAGGCATTGCATGCTCCATGCATGTCCTGATGTCAGGACTCGGGGGTCGGGACATGCCAGTTTGTGTTGTACGTATGTGTGTGTATGTCATCTCAGCTGCCCCTTTGCCCTCCCATTCCCCCTATCCGCCCACCTTCGCGGATTTCCAGTCCAGCACCCGGTGCGAAAGATTGTGTGCATAGACTCTTTCTGAGCTCTTATTATATATTTATAAAACCCCTTTCCCAGCGCGTTCTTGACGCGTCGGTATTATTAAATTCAGTCGACACCGTGGTTAAAACAGTCCACTATTGTCTGTATAAATGCATAGAATTTGATTATGCAACCTTAATCACCACGTCCAGAGGGTTTTCGGAACTCACCTTTTCACAGTTGATAAAGCCTCGTGGAAAAATGACGCATACATATAACCTCAGGTAAACTTATGCAATAATAAGCGAAAAGGAAGAAGGAAATCAAACATGGGAAACGAATACGATTTGGGAAGTTGTCGATCCTATAACAAGGTTAAAGCCCGCAACCCAAATTACGTATGATTGCTGATTGTGTGTGAGAATGGTTGCTGGATGGTAGATAATAGCAAAGTTGAGCAAATTAGCTTGTAAAACTTCGACGAACATCTCCTCACAATGTTCAGTGATGCTTCGTTGAGTCAACAAAGTTCAGAAGTCTCCATGTGCTCGGGGCCAAGAGTCTAAAATTGCAAAGGTTTGAATCTTGAAGTTTTTACTGCTCATATTACATGTATGAAGTACAAGATGCTCAGACCAATCAATTTTTGTCGCATCTACAGTAGCCAGATGTTTGCCATAAATACAGTAACCAAAATGGGAATATGCAAGATTAGTAACTTGCAATATACAATTTAGGCTGTGGGCTTTAACATTGTATACGATTGATCTATCTCAGAAACCCCTCATTTCCTACGGGTTCAAATGTTTACTAGTTCCTTATTTAAAACATTAAGCTGAAATGGCAAAGTCAGTAAAATGAAAACTTCCAAAGGATAAGGTTCCGGTTTCAAAGCCCATTGCCCTGAAAGAGGGTTTTGCACTGCTCATCTAGGAGTGGGGAGTCCTTACCTCGATACCCATCGATTTGTGTAAACAAGTGTATATGCGGATTACGATCAACAGCCATAGTACTATTAAAGAGATTTTCCTGTTAAACATTTACCTTTACCATGTGTAAACCAATGTTTGATACTGGTAGTTTAACTGTTGCAGCAAATACCGGAACTGTTAGGTGAGATAAATGGTTTGTTTTGTGACAATACGAATAAGAGTTGCAATTATTATATCCGTGCTTGAATTGAACAACTAGACCGATGGAATCGGATGAGTCTCTCGAGAGGGGTCTACAGAACTTCCAGAGGCCTAAATATAGTTGCACTGTGTAAATTCCCCGTACGAAAACTGAGGGAAGGGAATCGTTAACGTTTGTCGTCCCGGTCAGCTGATATTTCAGGGGATGATGTGAGTACTCTGATATTTGCCAAACATATACACTGGTAGTATTTTTACTGAAATGTGCCTAGGCCAGAGTTCATCCCGTTTCAGAGGGCTCCAAAGTAGCCGCTGATTTGTTTGTGGTTAACGATTCTGTTGGACCCATTTTCCGTCCCACACCAGCACTTCTGTCGAACACGCATTTTTCTGTTTGCCTGCCACCATGCCTAAGTGCTGCCGCGTGCCTCCATGTGACAACCATTCTTGCGTCTGTTCCTTCACATAAGATGAAATGAGGGTGTGTTACATTTTTCATTTTTTTTCGTCCAGACGGCCAGCCGTCCGGACAATTGTGTGGTTACGAAAGTTAAATCTCGGCAGTGAGTTCGTCAGGGACTAAACGACGTCGCATTCTTCGTTTTGCGTCCTTACGACATCGCTTTGGTCGCAAACCGACCGTGCGACGTCGCAATCTTCGCACACGTCCGGACAGCCGTCCAGACGTTCAGTGACATCGAAAAATGTAACACGCCCTAAGACCGTGCTTCCCAGCTCTCAAGCGTTCTCACTTTCACATCTCTCCCTCTTGGACGGGTGATACATTTTCGTAATGGTTCGTTTAACACAGTTTAATTCGGTAAACATGTGTTATGCGCTGTTATCAACGCACCCACACAAGCCTTCCGCAACGATGGAAGAACAAAAAAATAATGTTTGACCACCACCCTAGCCGTGCACAGTTTTCTGTTGCGTTGCTGTTTCCCTATGCTGAGCTGGAACCAAAGGTCGTCAAAATCCTCCGAGCGACATTGTGCGTGCGAGTGCGCTGAACGAGAGGGGGCTGGTTGGGGTGCAGCGCGGTCGAAAACCAGCAATCACGTGCTTCACTGCTTGGGATGACGGTGACGTCGTGTTGCGATTGGGCTACACCTGAATGACGTAGTTGACGATCCAGTCCACGTGTACAGTCTGACAAAATGTTCGAGCTCGGCTTACCTGAATCATGAGACCCGACCAGCTTCTTCAGGATTCGGCAGAAATGACGTCATCGTTTGAAATGTACTGACAAGTTATCAAAATATCCTTTTATGGGAGGACTACGAGTGTGAAATTTCATGAACGCTCTGGCAACTCAAAACTCAAGTGCTTGCATATTTCCAGAAGGGAGAAATAGCCACCGTGTGTGCTACCGAAATCACCTGGCAAATATGAGCAATGCCCCCTGATTGGAATCCTTAACTCACAAAATAAAGATTATGTTAATTACTACACCAAAGGCATATCTAACTACCCATTTTGAGGAAACGTTCTAGTAAATAGGTCATTCAGTTGCAGTTAGTAGCCCTAGCCCACGAGCCCCTCGGCTAATAGGAATACTGTTAAGGAAAGGAAATAAGAAAAATGGCGAGACATCCGCATGGCAGACAACCACATGCTGCATACATACATGCTCTGCCACCCCCCTCTGCCTTCCCCTCCCCTCCCTTCCAATGCTGCAATAGCATATGCTGCTAAGATCACAGACAGTGCACAGCACACGTTGGTTGACCTGACAGATTATTTCTTACACCGCAGCCACGCAAGCACGGCACAGCAACGGCATGTGGGTGAAAGCGGTGAATGCGGAATAACCATTGCTGATAAGGAGTTGAGGAAGCCATAGCTTGGAATTTCACCCAAGAAGATGAAGATAGAAGCACCTTAGCATGGGATACTGGATCATAAGGAAGGGAATACTGACGAAAGGAGAGCGAGGGGTGGTGCAAGACAAGCAAAAAGAGGGACGAGGGAATGGAGCGGAGCGGGATAGGGATGTTGGAAGAGGAGGATGAGGAGGAGGAGGAGGAGGAGGTGGAGGAGGAGGAGGAGGAGGAGGAGGAGGAGGAGGAGGAGGAGGAGGAGGAGGAGGAGGAGGAGGAGGAGGAGGAGGAGGAGGAGGAGGAGGAGGAGGAGGAGGAGGATGAGGATGAGGAGGAGGAGGAGGAGGAGGAGGAGGAGGAGGAGGAGGAGGAGGAGGAGGAGGAGGAGGAGGAGGAGGAGGAGGAGGAGGAAGAGGAGGAGGAGGAGGAGGAGTCATGCCAAGCTGTTTTACTCCAGAGATGCCTCGACAGCAGAGTCTGGATCATCTTATTCGCCCCACCCACCCACCCAACCACCCACCTACCCAACCACCTACCCAACCACCCACCTACCCAACCACCTACCCAACCATGCACCCAACCATGCACCCAACCATGCACCCAACCATGCACCCAACCATGTACCCACACACCCACGCACGCATCCTAAGCAGTTGCGCTTCTTCCTCCGCACATACCTCCAGCTCCCATGTTTCCCAAGTGTTTCACACGCTATGCTATCCCCATTATGGTACACGGTGCTGTTCTCTCTCGCCACACGGCTCCATCCATCCACCACCCACACCATCGATCAGGCTGCTTCTATGGCTGGTACACCATCGCTATCAGCCTCAGCATCAGCATCAGCATCAGCAGCAGCATCAGCATCAGCATCCCACAGAAGCTCCCGCAGTGACAGCGGCTGAAGCAGCAGCCAGCCATCCGTCAGAACCTTAGCACCAGGAATTAACTAACTTAACCTACCCCTTGCCCCCGCCTTTCCACCCTCAGCACCTTTACCAGCTACTTCGCTTTAAATAGGCTACAATCCACCCCCCCTCCCCCCCCTCCCCTGGATTTGAGCCGCATCAAAAGTTAACCCTTGCCCCCGTCTTTCCCCCCTTCCCTCAGCAGCTCTAGCAACTCTGCTGCTTCAGGAGCCACATTCCCCAACCACCCCTAAGAGTATTGAGGCGCTTCAACTCTCACCGCTACCCCTTCCCCCCGTCTTTCCCTCCTTTCCTCAGCAGCTCTAGCAACTCCTTGGCTTCCGGAGCCACATTCCCTCCCCCTGGTACAGCTGCTCCCGCCGCCTTGCTCTCGCTCCCACCACCAGCAGCCACACGAACCAGCGACGGCAACATCCCCTCTGCAAGCAGATCCTTTACAGTGACAATCTCCATTTTAACCATAGCGAGCAGCACCGCAGCTGCATCCTCTTTCGACCGCTCCGAAGCCCCTTCATCCAACAAATCTACCATTCTCATCATCCCGTCGCTCCTCTCAATCTCCTCGCAGCCCTCGGGCAGCCGCGAAAGATTCAACAGCACCGCCACGGCCTTTTCTTCCAGCCCGGGCAGATCCTCCTCCTGCCCGATCACATCCAGCAGTACAGGAATCGCCCCCGCTGAAACCACTTCCTTGGCTCCTCGCGTCGACAGCGAGATCGCAAACAGCGCCAGAGCCGCGTCCTTTCTCCCTCTCGGCGTCCCGTCTTTGATCACCGTCAGCAGCAGTGGCACGGCCCCCGATTGCCGCACCGCCCCCCGGAAATCATCCTCTTTCGCCAAAACATACATTGTCGCCGCAGCCGCAGCTTTGGCAGATTGAGAGCCTTGCTTCAAGACCTGGACTAGAGCAGGGATGGTCCCGGCTCGAGCTAAATCAGGAGCCGCAGCCCAGTGCAGAGCAAGAGCGAGAATCGCGGCAGCGACCTGATCTAGCTCCTCCAGCCTCGCGGCCTTCTCTCCTTCCCCCTCTCCGTCTCCTCCCTCTCCCGCCCCGCCCTCCCGCTTGATCACAGCTACCAGGGCTTTAATCACCCCGGCACGCACCAGCTGCTTCCGAGCTACCGGAATCTCTGCCTCTCCCTGCCCTTTCACGTCTATTCGGATCGTCCGCGCTGCTGCCACTCTCTTACTCCTCGACCCGCTCCTCAGATCTTCAGCCAGCTGGGAGAATCGCGCTCCTAGCTGCGCTGCCAGCTCATCAGGATCGAATCCCAGGTCCACACCTGCGCCGCCCGGTCCCTCAGTAGAGAAGAAGTCGGAGCCTGCCGCCCGCCGTGCCGACCCACCCAGTGCCCCCGCCCCTCCTCTGCTATCCCCACCTCTTCTCTCTGGCGTGGCCGGCCTTTCCCACGGGTCTCTAGCTCTACCCAACCCTCCTCCTCCCCCTCCCCCTCCTCCCCTTCCTGGTGCCCCCTCTAACCCTGCTCCAGCTCCTGCTGCTGCTGCCCCTCCCCCTGGGTTCGCCATGGGGTCTAGAAGGTTCCATCCCACGCTCCTGTTGCGCCTGTGGGTGTCTGCACTCGCAGGGCGAACCACAGAACCGAATGATGCACTTACGTACCGCTCTTTACCACTCCCGCCCATCACCAGACCCACACTGTGATCCCCTACTATTACCCCCCCTCCTGCAACCCCTCCGCCCGCCCCTCCGCCCGCCCCTCCGCCAGCCCCTCCCGCTCCCCCTCCTGCCCCCCCACCAGCAGTCCCCCCTCCCCCCTCTCCCCCACTCCCCGCGCCTCCCCTACTTGCCCCCCTTCCTTTGCCCGCCCCGCCCGTCCCCCCCCCTGCTGCTAGCGTCCCCATTCCCGTTTTCGTCCTCTCCAGATCCAAGCTTCTCCTCCCTGCTCTAGGTGGGGGTTCGAATCCCCGCTGGTCCACTTTCCCTTCCGCTTTCCCTTCTGCCTGCTGCTCCCTCAACGACCGCCCTCGCCCCAGTAGCCGCTCCTTCTCCTCTGCAGGGCTTGCTCCCGTCCCATTGCGCCCATTTGTACCGCTGCTACCACCACTGCCACCGCTGCCAACCGCACTCCCCGCCCCAGCGTCATCTGTCACTCCCCAGCCCCTTAATAGTCCAGGCGGGACCGAAGACATAGACCGATTTATACCGCCAGAGGCATGATGCAGACCCGATCCCGGACCTGATCCCGAACCTGATCCCAAACCTGATCCTCCACCATGCCTCCCACTCCCTCCTATGCTCCCTCCACCAACCCCTCCCCCACCCCCTCCGCCCTCCCCTCCTTCCCCTCCCCCCCTCCCGGACCACCGCCCCGAGCCTCCCGCTCCGGTTTGGTCCAAGGCGGCGGACAGGTCATCCTGGCTCCCAGACAACCCCGAACCTCCCAAACTGCTGACGGACCTCCCGCTGGCTGGGGAGTGGAACGGGGAGTGCGGGCGGGGGACGGGGGGGGACGACAGGCGGGAGAGGTTCCGGGGCTCGGGGAAAGGGGCGGAGTAGGGCGCAGCGGGGGCATTGGGGGAGTTGCGGGGGGGGCGGGAGAGGGGAGGGGAGCGGCCTTGGCTGGCCGGCGCGTGCTGCTGCGATTGCTGCATCAGAAGCAGCTCATGGGGAGGTATATCTAGCATCCGCCCGGAGGTAGAACCATGCTCCCTCTGACTGCTGCTCTTGCTGAGAACCCACGAGTCTCTCTGGATGCTGCTCTCTGGTCTCACCTCTCGCTCTCCATACTCTTCCGACTCCCTTTCTCTCTCCATTTCCATCTCTCTCTCCCTCTCTTTGTCCCTCTCTCGGTCTCTCTCCCTGTCCCTGTTCCTTAATGCAAACTCTCCTGATCTCCCGTGACCAGCAGCAGCATCTGCTTCAAGCTCCCACGTCCCCGTTCCTCCTCTCCTCCACCTGTTCCTCTCCCCCACTCCTCCTCCGCCCCCCAAATCCCCGCCCTCGCCCCCAGCGTTCCCCTTATGCGCCCTCCGCGCCGCTTCCTCTCGGGTTACTTTGCCCCCCCCTCCCCCGGCTTCCCCCTGTAGCGCCGCTAGCGCCCCCCCTCCCCACGTCTTCGTACGGGAATGCTCCCCCAGCCTGCGCTCCCCCTCCGCCGCTCCCCCTCCCCCTCCACCTCCGCCCTCCCCCCCCCCGCTCTCCAAATCTCCCGCCGAGCCCTTCCCCAGCTCCATGACACGCGCGCGCAGTGCATGCACGCTCACCCCGAAGCCCCCTCCCCCCGCGCCCGCAATCCCCCCGCTGGCGGACTCCCGCTGGCTGCCCTGGCGGGACATGATGGGGGAAGTAGTGGCGGAAGCCATGGGCGTGCGCACGACAAGAAGGTTCCGCCACTGGGGGACGGCATGGGGGGAAGGCGGGCCGCTGGGGAGGTCTCCCGCGGTGCTTGTGCCTCCGCTCCCCTCCCCGTTCTCATCGTGCTCCGGAGTCAGATCGAGGCCTAGAACGGCCGCGCTGAAGCGCCCGCTAGAGCTCCCCGTTCCGCCCATGGCGCTTCCGCCGCTTCCGCCGCCCTGCTGCTGCGCCGCTAGCTCCATCAGCCGCGCGCGCTCCTTCCGCGTGACCTTCACGTGCGCTAGGGCCTCCATATTCACCCCCCCAGCTGGCATCTTTCCCCCGATACTTACCCCCTCCCCGTCCCTTTCGCCGTCCCCGCGCGCATCATTCCCCCCCCTTCTCCCCGACTCAAGCACCGGATTCTGCCGACCGCTCCCGGGGCTTCCACGTTCCCACCTATCCTGTCCTCCCCCTCCGCGTTCCCCTCCCCCTTCCCCTTCCCCTTCCCCATCGCTGTCGTCCTCCCCGCGCGGAGAAACCGGTGCGCCACGATCGCGAAACACCCCCGCCACTGCCGCCGCTGCCACCGTGATATCCATTTCGTGCCCGCCGAACCGCCTCTGGCTGTTCTCGAAGCCGCCGCTGTCGTCAGCAAACACGTCGTGCCGCCCCGACAGCGACCCGCCGCGCATGCCGCGGCGCATGCGCATCGGGGAACTGTCTGCGCCGACGGCGGAAGCGCTGGCGACACTCCTGCTAGTTCCAAACTCCCTGGAACTCCCGCCTTTTAAAATCCCGCGCTTCGGATGCTCGGGGGTCGTTCCCAGAGACATCGCGCCGCCTCTCCGCGCCGATCCCGTCTCCGCTTTTTCCGCGCGCTCCTTTAATCTACGTCCGGATCCCTCGCTGCTGCCCTCGTGCGCCTCCCTTCCCGCCGACAGCAGCGCGCCGACCCTACTCCCGCCAGAGTCTATTAATTGCGCGGGTTGCGCGCCCCAACTCGCGTTCCGCCCTACCGCCTTCCGCACCTTCCTCGGCGCCGTCGACGTCGCGGACTTCCCCGCGGACTTTCCCCCCGCCGCGGCGGCGGCGCCGCCCTTGTCCCTTTTCCTGCCGCCTGCCACGTCAGCATCTTCATCCTGATCTTCTGAGTCAGACCACGTGTCATGGTGCCGATCTCTGTCATTCCCAGCCTGCGCCCGCCCCTGCCCTTGCGCGGCCGCCGCCATTCCTCGGTCTTTCTCGTGCCCGCGTTCCGCTTCCGCTGACACATCATCCTCCCTCTTGTCCCTATCAGTCCCTTTCTTCTTCGCGCTGCTCTTGCTGGCACGCTCTTTTCCCGACACCCCCGTTCCTCCTTTCTCTCCCTGCTTCTCCCGGTCGCCAGTCCCCTTGCCTTTCTTCTCCCGCACTACCTCCCCTTTGTCCCTCAGATCTCCCGCTTCCCTCCCCCCCTCTTCCCTCGTTTCTCTACTATCCCGCCCGCCCTTGCTTTCTCCCGCGTCCTTCATTTTCCCCTTGACCTTCCGCTCCCTCCGCGGGCCGTCCTCGCTTCCCCGGTCATACGAGTTCCGCCGCTCAATCCCTCCCCTTTCCCCCTGGTCCTCCTCCGCTTCCGCCTTTCGACTACTGCTACGGCCCTCTCCGCGCGACCGGTGGCGGTCCGCGGGACCTTGGGCGGAAGGAGGCCGCCTTCCGCTGCCGCTGCTTCCGCCCCCCTTTCCGCGGCCTTCCCCCGCGTATCCCCTCACCGCGTCGAGAGAAGGGGGAGGCTCCAAAGGCGCTAATGTGATGCGATTCGCTAAGCACCAATCAGTAATCATCTTTTTAACGGCTACATTAGGACATAGGTTAGTATGATCTACCCGCTGACGCGTTTTAGGACACGTCATGTGCCCTTCCGCAAACCACTGCTCGATAAAGGCACGCTCGTACGTCAGCCCGGACGCTATAATCACAGGATCTCGCATAATGTCCGCAGATAACGGGCAGGTAAAATGTTCCGGAACAAGAGACGCCAAAATACTAGTCGAACTACTGTTACCGCCCCCGCCACCGCCGCCACCGCCGCCGCCGGTGCTCGCTCCGCCACTCCCTTCCCCCCCTAGCCGACCCGAGCTCGTAGAAGGTCGTCGCATCATGCCCCATTTAGCGTGATCTGCGGCGTGAATTGCGGGAGGGCGGGAGAGCTGCTCCCAGGCATCCGATCCAACAAGGGGCCCGTCGGCCGCGGTCATCACAGGTGCATCGAGGCAACGCTGGCGAAAATGTTACAACGAATGCGGTGATGGTAACCGCTCATCGCCGCAGGAACACGCGGAGGGCGGGAGCATGGAACAGGGAGATAATAAATGGTAAGTGTAATGCGTCAGCGAGCCTTTGCAGATTCGCTTGCTTTATTGACGCGAGTCAGAGTGTCAGGTTAACTTGGAACGTATCCAGGAAACGAATAAATGGGTCAACGGTGATGGCGTGTTATAGGGAGCTAACTTCGCCCTCCAGGTCTACACAACATTGTGTTCCGCTCCTGTAATGCACGGACGCAACGAAACTCGCCTTATGAAAGTTATGGAGGTCAGAGCGAGCGAGCTCTGAGCTAGGTGCTGCCAAGAAGTTCTCAAGGTGGCGGAGCGGAGCGGAAGAGGTGCGCGCAAGCACAGCTGGTGGTTGGACAAGCGAAGGTGAACGGGGGAAACTGGGGGAAATGGGTGATAAGGGCGGAGAAGCTGCGGGGCGGCTTCTTGAGTGTTCCGGCCCGGGCAGAGGTGTTTTTGGCGCAACCCAACGGCTTCCCCGTTTCGTTCGGTTCGGGGCCTCAGGTTGGATGGATTTGGTGGTCTTTGCTGTGCGCTGCTAGTGCGAAGGGAGTTTTACAGAGCAAAAACTGGTGTTTAGGGAGGATAAATATTAATCCTCTAGGGTTCGTCTAGCGCGGTTCAGTACGTTAAAACATGGTCACGAACGAGCTCTGTTTATTTACCGATTGAAAGCACTGCGCACCGAATCAAACTTCACAAACATCAAACTAAGCATTACCGAGGCTGGAAAAATGCCACTGGTCGCACGAGGCTGCCGGAGAAATACCAAACTATTTCCAAGCTTCGGGCAACCCGAACGTGAGATAGGTTTGGCGCACGAAGGTGTTCCTCCAATCAACATTTGTACACCTCTATGTGGTACCAAGCGACTCATTGCGCTGGAACACCAAGGCTTGTACGCTATAACGAGACAGCTTCTTGAAGCTCTAAAATGAGACTCCAAGAAGTGGGCCATCGCCGTGGTACAAGCACGCGAATTGCAGGTTCGAATGTGCAACACATCCGACTACCACTGAGCCAGCAAGCCAAACTCCAATAGCAGCAGTGCGTTTGATTTACGTTGCACTCCTGCCAGGCAGCAGAAACAACTATCTAGGTGCTGCTGTTTCAACGTTCTGGCGTTCGGTTCAGTTCAGTACCGTCTAGCTACCACCTGCAAGACCATATTCTTTTCCCACCACCCTTCTGAGTGCTCCTGCTGGAATCTCGAGCGTTTCGCAAATTCGTTTCCACTTTTGGGGCTTCGGGTCCTCGTAGTAGTTCAGATTCTTCGCTAACAACCCGATTCGCGCCCGCACGAAAAGACGAGCACGGTCCTTTGCGACCCTCGAGCGAATCCAATCGTACGGCCGGAGCCAGAAGGAAACCCGCCTGTGTGATTACGTCGAAAACCTGGCTGATCCATTGTTTCCCATAAGTCAAACCGTAGGTCACGCTGTCAGTCTGGGCCGTCAGTCAGAAAGACCGGCACTGACGCACGAACCTTGACTGTGGGCGCGTGAGGACCGACTGAAACAGGCGTCTGGCATGATCTGACATGATCTGACATGATCTGACATGAACTGGCATGATCTGGCATTCGACCGTTGAGATTCCTCAGGTCCCAGTCCCAGTCGCTCTCTCCGCTCGCCTTAAGACATCTCGGGTTGTCCCTCCTCCCTCCCTCCCATCTCACCCATCTTATTCAAATCCTTGCGGCCTCGCGACCCTGCTTCCTCTTTCTGTTGCCATCTTGCCGCTTCCAACTCGCCACTCCTTCTCGCCACTCCTTATCGCCACTCGCCTCTCGCCTCTGCTCGGTAGGATCGAGGTCTAGGTCTCAACGGTAGACGCGTCCATGGCGGACCGTGATGGCCGAGGCGCGGGCGGAGAACGCGGAGAATTCACCGAACGCGTTGAACGCGCCGACTGCGTTGAACGGGGAGAGCGTGACGAACGCGACGCGTTCAGTCCCAGCAGCAACGACGGCGATCGCAGCCCGCTGTTCGAGGGCCGGCCGAAACGGCTGTCTAACCGCAAGCTCGCGAGTATCTCCGTTATTGCTGCAGGTGTGGGCCTTATAAGGAATCGAGCACATCGCCTCACTATGTGGAACTTGAATGTAGTGAGATGCTCTGGTAGTTTCATGCTGGGAGGCTCTGAGGAATGCTCTGTTCGTAAGCTAATCTTGGGAATGGTCTGGTGGCTGTGCAATGTGTTTTTGGGGGGATCATGGGGGTTGGGGTTGACACGGGGGAGAGAATGAGCGGGTGTGTGTCAGGGGGGAGTAGGGGGGTGGGGGGATTGCAAGGGTGGTAAACTGGTGGGGTGGGGGGATGGAGGAGGGTTGCTGCTGTGCTGCATGTATGATTGTCATTGTTCCAGGAATTCAATTCGGATGGGCGCTGCAGCTCTCTCTGCTCACGCCATATGTACAGGTGAGTCATGGGACGCATCAACAAAACCTCCACAAATACGGTGCATCTGGCTGGTGCTGAGTGGAGCAAGCTAGTATAGCAAGCAAGCTAGATGCCAAGCAAGCTAGATGTCAAGCAAGCTAGATGTCAAGCAAGCTAGATGCCAAGCAAGCTAAGCGCCTGCTGCTGCTATTGAATCTCGCATTGCTCAAGTGAAAAGGCCGTGCAAGCAAGCCAGCATGTTCCAGGTGCCTGCCTCGCTGCCTTGTCCTAGTCCATGCACTCACTCACGCCATTGTCTCATGACTGCATCTCATGAGAGTCTCGGTTCCACACTGCATGGAATGCCATGCACACTGTCCCACGTCGTGCAGTGCGTTCACCTCCACACGTTTCAAACAAATACGTCTCGTTCTTCCGTGAATGCTTGGTGGGCTTGCTTTGCCTTGCCGCCATCGCACTGCTGTGCCTGCGCTGCGCCCGTGCTGCAGACCCTTGGGATTCCACACGTGTGGGCGTCGTTTGTGTGGCTCTGCGGTCCCATCTCTGGCCTTCTGGTGAGTTGCGGAGTTTTGGATGGAGTTCTGCTGTGTCTTGCAGCGACAGCCCCACGTCTAGAGAATAATCATCACCAGAGTGTTATGTGATTCTGCTACTGTGAATGTGAAATTGTGAATGGAGGTGCGGACATGCAAACGTGCCTACTCTCTTCCATACCTGTGTGATGTGAAGTATTAGCAATGAAAATGCAGGTACCTCTGTTCTCATCGCCAGAATTGCATTTTCACTGCTGATGCTTCTGCTCCGTGCAATGCTTCGTATGAGAGAAGGAGAGGAGAATCAGTAGTGGTGGTGGCTGTGGGAGCTGTATCCGCTGGCTCTTACATCAGCACCAATTGTCACCCGACTCATCTGTCACATGCCATGCCACTTACATATGCCTGCCGTGCCCCTCAGGTGCAACCCCTGGTGGGCGTGTGGAGTGACTCATCTCATGCCACACTCGCCCTGGGGCCTGGGGCAACTTCTGTTTGCCTCAAGGCCCACTGTGTTACAACCCCACATCACATACACATGTCTCCTGCTTCGTTGCAATGTTATATGCCACATGCCACACATGCCACATATGCCACATCTGCCACATATGCCACATGCCACATATGCCACATATGCCACATCTGCCACATATGCCACATATGCCACATCTGCCACATCTGCCACATATGCCACATGCCACATCTGCCACATATGCCACATCTGCCTGCCTCTCAGGTGCAACCCCTGGTGGGCGTGTGGAGTGACTCGTGCCGCTCGCCCTGGGGCAGGAGACGCCCTTTCATCTTCACTGGAGCACTGCTAGTCATGGCTGCTGTACGTCATGCCACGCCATGCCATGCCATGCCATGCCATGCCATGCCATCCCATGCTTTCTAATGGCTTCTGGGCGTGATGCCATGCCATGCCATGCCACACATTGCCATGGCTGCTGTATGTTATCCCATGCGCCAGACGGTCAGATTGCCATGCGCTTCACATCACATGGTCACATCTGCATAGAACACCGCACCGCCCGTCATGCCTCCCCTTCCCCTTCCCCTTCCCCAACCCCCCCCTCTTCTCTCTTCCGCCTTTCTTGCCGTTGTTCTCGTTCTGTGCTCCTCCTCCCTGTGCCTGCACCTCGCTTTGCTGTTCATTTCTTCCAGTCTTTTCCAAAACTGCTTGCACCTCTGCTTGCACGATTTCCACCATTCACATGCCCACGTCCCTCCCCCCTGTCACCACTTGCTCTTCATCAGGTGTTGATAATTGGCTTCAGTGCGGACCTAGGGTACCTTCTAGGGGACGATCTCCATCCTCAAGGCGGGTATGTGATTCAACCTCTGTATCGTCTTCTCCTCCATCGTACCATTTGTGACTGCATGTTACCATATGATTTATGATGCTAGCAGATGTTAGTACTTGGCTTCTGAGGCTCCTCACGAGTCATCCCTTTGCTCTCCTTCTCCTGCTCCCCCTTTTCCCACCCGCGTGCATACCCAACCCACCAGCACTCGCCCCATGGCGTGCGCTCTCTTTGTCTTTGGCTTCTGGTGTTTGGACCTCAGTAACAACACTGTGCAGGCCCCTGCGAGGGCTCTTGTCGCCGATTTAACAGGTACGCTGCTGCTTTGCAGGCGCCTCAAAACCGCACTCGTTGCTTTTGAGGCGCCTCAAAACCACACACGTTGCTTTTGAGGCGCCTCAAAACCACACTCGCCCCAAGGCGTGCGTTCTCTTTGTCTCCCCGCGAGACGCAATCCTCACACCGCCTTGCGCCCCCCTCGTCGCTCCTCCTTCATCTCTCCTCTCCTCACTCCTTGCCCCTGTCAGCGCCCAGCAGTCAGCTGGAATGGAAGCAGCCAACGCGTGGTATTCCTTCTGGATGGCCCCTGGTGCGTCCATCCATCCAGCATACCCCGGAAACTCGGAACCTCAATCCACCTTCTTCTTGCTCCTCCTTCCTCTCTCTCTCTCGTCCCATGGTTCTCCTCGCAGCGCCCAGCAGTCAGCTGGATGCAGCCAACGCGTGGTATTCCTTCTGGATGGCTGTGGGCAGCGTGATGGGCTACTCCACAGGCGCCATAGGTCAATGGTACATGTGAGTCTCTGAATGTCGTATTGGGTGGGTGGTGTGATTTTTGAGTCTACAGTTTTTTTTTAGCCGATTTATTAGTTGACTACGAAAAAAACAGGCGCCATAGGCTGATGGTATGTGTGAGTCTCTGAGTATGGTATCGGGTGGGTGGTGTGGTGCATCTGCCTTCTAAGGCACCTCAAAGGCCAACGTGTGGTACTCTTTTTGGATGGACGTGGGCACTGGGCAGTGTGATGTGATGGGCCGTAGTTGGTGTGGTGCTGAATCTGTTTTTTGAGAATTCTCAAGAAACAGACAGATTCAGCGTACATGGGCTATTCCACGTACGCAGGCGCCGTAGGCTTATGGTGCATGATGCTTCACCCATGGCGCAGTGCGTGAGTTTTTGACATGGTATCAGATGGTACATACATACATACATACATACATACATACATACATACATACATATATAGATACATACATACATACATACATACATACATACATACATACATACATACATACATACATACATATAATTCTTTACCCCGATGCGTTAACTACCCACCCAGGTCCTCTCTAGACGGGAGAACCTTACAGTCCGTTGCTTCGAGGTGACTTTTGAGTCGACTCAAAAGCTACCTAGTACCCCCACCCAGGTCCTCTCTAGTCGGGAGAACCTTACAGTCCATTGCTTCTTGATGGCTCTCCAATTCTCGCTTGCCTATTCGCACTTCACTCAGCCACCGTCCCTACCTCTGCTTTCGGGGCGCCTCAAAAGCCCTCTCGCTCTTCATTCTGCCACCTTCCTCCTCCCCCCACCGTGCACCACAGATGGTTCCCTGTCCTCACCAGCGATGCCTGTGGCGAGCAGAGTTTTGAGAAATTTCAACACTCACCCTGCCCCTGCCACCCTGCCCCCTCTTCCTCCTCCCCCACGATGCACCACAGATGGTTCCCTGTCCTCACCAGCGATGCGTGTGGGGAGCCCTGTGCCAACCTCAAGGCCGCCTTCCTGCTAGCCATTGTGCGCCCGCTCTCTCCCTCCTCTTCCTGAATTTCTATCTCTGCTTCACCCTCTTCCTCTTCCTTTGCTCCCTCCTCTTCCTCTATTTCTTTTTCCTCTTCACCCTCTTCTTCTTCCTTTTCTCCCTCCTCTTCTCCCTTTTCCCTCTCCGCCTCTTCTTCCTCTTTTTTCCCTCTCCCTCCGCTCGCTCTTCCTCTCGTTCTTCCCCGCCCCTCTTCTTCTTCCTCCCTCCTCATGCCCTTACGCCATGCTCGCTCTTACGCCATGCTCGCTCTTACGCCATGCTCGCTCTTACGCCATGCTCGCTCTTTCGCCATGCTCGCTCTTACGCCATGCTCGCTCTTACGCCATGCTCGCTCTTACTCCATGCTCGCTCTTACTCCATGCTCGCTCTTACTCCATGCTCGCTCTTACTCCATGCTGGCTCTTACTCCATGCTCGCTCTTACACCATACTCGCTCTTACTCCATGCTCGCTCTTACACCATGCTCGCTCTTACTCCATGCTCGCTCTTACTCCATGCTCGCTCTTACTCCATGCTCGCTTATACTCCATGCTCGCTCTTACACCATGCTCGCTCTTACTCCATGCTCGCTCTTACTCCATGCTCGCTCTTACTCCATGCTCGCTCTTACTCCATGCTCGCTCTTACACCATACTCGCTCTTACTCCATGCTCGCTCTTACACCATGCTCGCTCTTACTCCATGCTCGCTCTTACTCCATGCTCGCTCTTACTCCATGCTCGCTCTTACTCCATGCTCGCTCTTACACCATGCTCGCTCTTACTCCATGCTCGCTCTTACTCCATGCTCGCTCTTACTCCATGCTCGCTCTTACTCCATGCTCGCTCTTATACCATGCTCGCTCTTACTCCATGCTCGCTCTTACACCATGCTCGCTCTTACTCCATGCTCGCTCTTACTCCATGCTCGCTCTTACGCCATGCTCGCTCTTACTCCATGCTCGCTCTTACTCCATGCTCGCTCTTACTCCATGCTCGCTCTTACTCCATGCTCGCTCTTACGCCATGCTCGCTCTTACTCCATGCTCGCTCTTACTCCATGCTCGCTCTTACTCCATGCTCGCTCTTACTCCATGCTCGCTCTTACTCCATGCTCGCTCTTACACCATGCTCGCTCTTACTCCATGCTCGCTCTTACACCATGCTCGCTCTTACTCCATGCTCGCTCTTACTCCATGCTCGCTCTTACTCCATGCTCGCTCTTACTCCATGCTCGCTCTTACACCATGCTCGCTCTTACTCCATGCTCGCTCTTACTCCATGCTCGCTCTTACTCCATGCTCGCTCTTACTCCATGCTCGCTCTTACTGCATGCTCGCTCTTACTCCATGCTCGCTCTTACTCCATGCTCGCTCTTACTCCATGCTCGCTCTTACACCATGCTCGCTCTTACTCCATGCTCGCTCTTACTCCATGCTCGCTCTTACACCATGCTCGCTCTTACTCCATGCTCGCTCTTACGCCATGCTCGCTCTTACTCCATGCTCGCTCTTACTCCATGCTCGCTCTTACTCCGTGCTCGCTCTTACACCATGCTCGCTCTTACTCCATGCTCGCTCTTACTCCATGCTCGCTCTTACTCCATGCTCGCTCTTACTCCATGCTCGCTCTTACTCCATGCTCGCTCTTACTCCATGCTCGCTCTTACTCCATGCTCGCTCTTACTCCATGCTCGCTCTTACTCCATGCTCGCTCTTACTCCATGCTCGCTCTTACTCCATGCTCGCTCTTACTCCATGCTCGCTCTTACTCCATGCTCGCTCTTACACCATGCTCGCTCTTACTCCATGCTCGCTCTTACTCCATGCTCGCTCTTACACCATGCTCGCTCTTTCTCCATGCTCGCTCTTACTCCATGCTCGCTCTTACTCCATGCTCGCTCTTACCCCATGCTCGCTCTTACTCCATGCTCGCTCTTACTCCATGCTCGCTCGTACTCCATGCTCGCTCTTACTCCATGCTCGCTCTTACACCATGCTCGCTCTTACTCCATGCTCGCTCTTACTCCATGCTCGCTCTTACTCCATGCTCGCTCTTACACCATGCTCGCTCTTACTCCATGCTCGCTCTTACACCATGCTCGCTCTTACTCCATGCTCGCTCTTACTCCATGCTCGCTCTTACTCCATGCTCGCTCTTACTCCATGCTCGCTCTTACACCATGCTCGCTCTTACTCCATGCTCGCTCTTACTCCATGCTCGCTCTTACTCCATGCTCGCTCTTACTCCATGCTCGCTCTTACTCCATGCTCGCTCTTACACCATGCTCGCTCTTACTCCATGCTCGCTCTTACTCCATGCTCGCTCTTACTCCATGCTCGCTCTTACTCCATGCTCGCTCTTACTCCATGCTCGCTCTTACTCCATGCTCGCTCTTACTCCATGCTCGCTCTTACTCCATGCTCGCTCTTACTCCATGCTCGCTCTTACTCCATGCTCGCTCTTACTCCATGCTCGCTCTTACGCCATGCTCGCTCTTACTCCATGCTCGCTCTTACTCCATGCTCGCTCTTACTCCATGCTCGCTCTTACTCCATGCTCGCTCTTACTCCATGCTCGCTCTTACACCATGCTCGCTCTTACTCCATGCTCGCTCTTACACCATGCTCGCTCTTACTCCATGCTCGCTCTTACTCCATGCTCGCTCTTACTCCATGCTCGCTCTTACTCCATGCTCGCTCTTACACCATGCTCGCTCTTACTCCATGCTCGCTCTTACTCCATGCTCGCTCTTACTCCATGCTCGCTCTTACTCCATGCTCGCTCTTACTGCATGCTCGCTCTTACTCCATGCTCGCTCTTACTCCATGCTCGCTCTTACTCCATGCTCGCTCTTACACCATGCTCGCTCTTACTCCATGCTCGCTCTTACTCCATGCTCGCTCTTACACCATGCTCGCTCTTACTCCATGCTCGCTCTTACGCCATGCTCGCTCTTACTCCATGCTCGCTCTTACTCCATGCTCGCTCTTACTCCGTGCTCGCTCTTACACCATGCTCGCTCTTACTCCATGCTCGCTCTTACTCCATGCTCGCTCTTACTCCATGCTCGCTCTTACTCCATGCTCGCTCTTACTCCATGCTCGCTCTTACTCCATGCTCGCTCTTACTCCATGCTCGCTCTTACTCCATGCTCGCTCTTACTCCATGCTCGCTCTTACTCCATGCTCGCTCTTACTCCATGCTCGCTCTTACTCCATGCTCGCTCTTACTCCATGCTCGCTCTTACACCATGCTCGCTCTTACTCCATGCTCGCTCTTACTCCATGCTCGCTCTTACACCATGCTCGCTCTTTCTCCATGCTCGCTCTTACTCCATGCTCGCTCTTACTCCATGCTCGCTCTTACTCCATGCTCGCTCTTACTCCATGCTCGCTCTTACTCCATGCTCGCTCGTACTCCATGCTCGCTCTTACTCCATGCTCGCTCTTACACCATGCTCGCTCTTACTCCATGCTCGCTCTTACTCCATGCTCGCTCTTACTCCATGCTCGCTCTTACACCATGCTCGCTCTTACTCCATGCTCGCTCTTACACCATGCTCGCTCTTACTCCATGCTCGCTCTTACTCCATGCTCGCTCTTACTCCATGCTCGCTCTTACTCCATGCTCGCTCTTACACCATGCTCGCTCTTACTCCATGCTCGCTCTTACTCCATGCTCGCTCTTACTCCATGCTCGCTCTTACTCCATGCTCGCTCTTACTCCATGCTCGCTCTTACACCATGCTCGCTCTTACTCCATGCTCGCTCTTACTCCATGCTCGCTCTTACTCCATGCTCGCTCTTACTCCATGCTCGCTCTTACTCCATGCTCGCTCTTACTCCATGCTCGCTCTTACTCCATGCTCGCTCTTACTCCATGCTCGCTCTTACACCATGCTCGCTCTTACTCCATGCTCGCTCTTACTCCATGCTCGCTCTTACTCCATGCTCGCTCTTACTCCATGCTCGCTCTTACTCCTGCTGTGCCACATGTCACCTGCTGTGCCACATTCCCCCTTCCTCCCTCCAATCGCCACCACCACCTTCACTTCACGCTCCCAATTCTCTACCCGTTTGCACTCTTCTGCCCTCCTTTCCTCGTGCTTTCCCACCCCACTGTCACTTCCTTCCCCCACGCATAGGCGGTTCTATCTGTGTGCACCACAACCATCACCACTCTTGTCACCCCGACCTTCCTCTCTTTCTCTCGTCCCCCAAAACACAACCACCACTGTCACTTCCTTCCCCATACAGGTGGTTCTATCCGTGTGCACCACCATCACCATGCGATCAGCAAAAGAGCAGCCCCTCACACCCATCCCCTCCACTTCCTCCTTTCCCGTTTCCCTTTCCTCCTCCCCCCTGCCCTCCTCCCCTCCTCTCCTCCTTTCCCGCCCCTTTCCCTCCCTTCTAAACAGGTGGTTCTATCCGTGTGCACCACCATCACCATGCGATCAGCAAAAGAGCAGCCCCTCACGCCCATCCCCTCCCCCGCCACCTCGCCCACCCTCTCGCTCACCTCCATACACCACTCAGCTCTCCCGTCCGATATCGGCGAATCAGAACCTGCTACTGGGGTTCGTGGGGGCAGTGGGGGTAGTGGGGGCAGCAAGAGGGTTGGCAATGGGGTAGGGCTGGTGGGCTCTGGCTATAAGAGCAGTGCTGGTGCTTCTTCTAGTGCCATCGCTGGTGCTGCTGGTGCTGCTGTTGGTTCTAGCACCCAGGGAGCATCAGGTGAGAGTGGGGAGGCGGCTATTGTGAGAGGGACTGAAGCAGATCACTTCACCACCGTTGATCTGAACTCGTTCCCTAATTCCCCTGCTTCTCTTGACCCTGCTGATCTAGCCCCCCTCCCTGCTGCCATTGCTGCTGATGCTACTGGTCGAACCACCGCCGCTGCCACCGGCACAGCGGATGTCCTCGATAGTATTCGCTCTGATAACAGCAATGTGATTAGACCTTCCGCAGAAGAACCTGTTATAGAAGAGTTCATTGGGAGTATATCACTTAATCGGAGCAGCAACAGGGGTCTTAACAGGAGCGGTAACAGGAGTCTGAGTTGGAACAGAGGTGGTGGTGGTGGTGGTGGGGAGGGGAGGGATGGGGATGAAGGGGTGATAAGCGAGGGCGGGAGTGGGGGTAGGGGCATGGCATGGCAGGGGGTGAGGCAGAGAAATCACAGCGGGAGTAGTGGAGGCTACGGAAGTACAAGCGGCACCACTGGCAACAGCAACAATGGTGGTGGCAGTGGTGGTGGCGGCAGCAGGGGTAGTAACACCACTGCAACCGCCACCACCGGCAGCAGCAGCAACAGCACAACCACCACCACCCCCACTGCTCCTACCAGCAGCCCTCACCCGTCCAGTACTACTCTTGACTCAAGACGAGATGCCGCATCTGGAGGGGTTCTGAACACCTTGGCTGCCCTATCAGCTGTACGTATGGATGGATACGTAAAGGTTGAGGATCAAGATGCGTTATTGAAGGATGTGGAAGGGCAGAGAGAAGGGGGAGAAGGGGTGTGTGGTGGGAGTGAGAAGGGCGGTGGGATGGGGAGGGAGAGGAGTGGGCGGAACGGGGGGAGGGATGGGCGGTGGGGGGGTGTTGGTGGGGGTGAGAAGAGGAGAGGCACGGAGGGGAATGGTGCGATCGGCGATGGTGATGGTGGCGGTGCAACTGCTGCTGCTGCTGCTGCTGCTGCTGGTGGTGGTGGTGGTGGTGGTGGCAGTGATAATGGCAATGGTGGTGGCAGCAGTGGTGGTGTGGCGTCAGTGGTAGTGGATCTGCTGGTTGGCATTCGACTCATGCCTAAGTCCATGCGCCTGGTGCTGTCTGTCATGGCTCTCACATGGGTGAGTGACACTTTCTTTAAGGCGCCTCGAAAACCGGCTTGTTGCATGCGGTTTTTATGTCGGCTCATTACGTGCGGTTTATTTGTTGAAAAGTTGTCAGTCCATGCGGCTGGTGCTGTCTGTCTGTCATGGACTAACATGGCCGAGTGACACTCACTTGCCTGGGCGAGTGACACTCACTTGCCTGGGCGAGTGACACTCACTTGCCTGGGCGAGTGACACTCACTTGCCTGGGCGAGTGACACTCACTTGCCTGGGCGAGTGACACTCACTTGCCTGGGCGAGTGACACTCACTTGCCTGGGCGAGTGACACTCACTTGCATGGATGAGTAACACTCATTTCTCTGCTGTCCCCTTTCTTGCCATCACTTTCCATAATGCATGCATCCCACGCCCACACATGTATTCCTCTCTTTCACTGCTTTTCTGATCAGATTTTCATGTTCCCTCACATCTCCTTTTTCTTTCCTCATCCTTGCATGTAACCCAGTACCCACCCACCCCCCTCCTCTTCTTCCATCTGTTCCCCTCCTCGTCCCGCCTGAACCCCCTTCCATCCCACACAATTGGTGTGTCCCATGGTTCTGGTGCTTACTACGTGACTTTGAGTTATGCTGCAAAGGTTTTGGTGCTTTTGAGAATTCTCAAAAGCAATTGGCGTGTCTCATGGTTCTGGTGCTTCCTATGTGACACGCCAATTGTGTGAGAAGAGAGGACTGGATGGGATGGGAGAAGGAATCAAGTTGACACACGTCTCAGCACGCGTCCTCCCCTCCCACTCCCGCCCATCCCCCTTCCCCCTTTTTATTCCTCTCCCCTCCCTTCCCCTTCATTATATGGCATGGTTCCCATTCTTCCTATTCGACATGGACTGGATGGGCAGGGAGGTCTACCGAGGCGGTCTCATCCAAGTGACTTCTGAGTCGACATAGAATTCCTCCCCTTTTCACCCCCCATTCCTCCTTCCCATCAGATGGCATGGTTTCCGTTCTTCCTATTCGACACGGACTGGATGGGTAGGGAGGTTTACCGAGGCGAGCCCAGCAGCGCCGACCCTGCAGCGGTGGTTCGGTACCAAGCCGGCGTCAGGGACGGTGCCCTCGGCCTCCTCCTCTTTGCTGTAGGTCACTTGCTCGCTTGCTGCCCTTTCCCCGCTCCCCGAACCCTCTTTTTGAGTCGACCCGAAAACAAGCTGGTGTCAGGGACGGCGGGACGGTGCCCTCGGCCTCCTCCTCTTTGCTGTGGGTCCCTTGCTCGCTTGCTGCCGTTTCCTCACACTTCGCACCCTCTTTTCTTTCCTCACTCTCCTCACTCTCCTCACTCTCCTCGCTCTCCTCACTCTCCTCGCTCTCCTCACTCTCCTCGCTCTCCTCACTCTCCTCGCTCTCCTCACTCTCCTCGCTCTCCTCACTCTCCTCACTCTCCTCGCTCTCCTCTCGCTCCTTGCACTCTTTCATCTCATCGCTCTCCTCGGTCTCTTTCCCTCGCGCCATCCCTTCTCCATCTTCCACTTCCGACTTTCCATCCCGCTCTCCCCAGGTGGTGCAAGCAGTCACAGCATTCTCTCTCGACCCCATCTGCATCCGCTTTGGTCCAGCGCTGGTGTGGGCAGCAGGCAACCTCCTGCTCGCCACCTCCCTCTTCTCCACCTGGCTGGTCACAGCCGCAGCAGACAACGCCGCCGCCGCCGCCGCTGCAGCTGCTGCCGCTGATCTCATCAATCTCCTCGGTCTCTGTTTCTCATGCTCTCCCCTCTCCATCTTCCACTTCTTGCTTTCCATCCCTGTCTCCGTTCCCCCCCCGTCTCCCCCTCCCTCCCAGGTGGTGCAAGCAGTCACAGCATTCTCTCTCAACCCCATCTGCATCCGCTTTGGTCCAGCGCTGGTGTGGGCAGCAGGCAACCTCCTGCTCGCCACCTCCCTCTTCTCCACCTGGCTGGTCACAGCCGCAGCAGACAACGCCGCCGCCGCCGCCGCTGCAGCCGCCGCCGCTGCAGCCGCTGCTGCTAGTGCTGCAGAAGCAGCCGCAGCCGCAGCAGCAGCAGCAGCTGCAGCGGCGGCGGCAGCAGGAGGAAATATGACAGGAGCGCCAGTACCAGCGCCAGGAGTGGGAGGAGCAGGAGGGAGTATGATGGTGGGAGATGGTGTGGGATGGCAAGAGCCGTCCACGGCTCTTCGAGCAGCAGCGCTGTCTGTCTTCGCTCTTGCTGGAGCCTCCTTTGCCGTGCGTCCCTTTGTCCCCTACTCTATCTGCCCTCTCCCTCGCCTCTTTATCACTTCATTCATGAATTTCTCTGTCTGCCTGAGCCACTGCACTCTCTGTCTTCGCTCTCGCTGGAGCCTCTTTTGCTGTGCGTCCCTTTCTTGCCTCTCCCACACCTCAACTTCCCCTCTCCCTCCCCTCTCCCCCTTCCCTTTTGAGCCGTCTCCTATTCATCCTGTTTCCTTATCGCCGTTTCTCCTTGACCCATTTCATTGATACGCTTATACCAATGCAACTCTTCTCGCTGCCTTCTGCCTTCTCTCTGATCGGGGTTCACATGATCGGGCTGTATTCAGTCACAGCCATTGGCCTCATCGGCCACATTGGCCACGCCTCCTTGCTATTTCAGGATCAGTTGCTTTTCAAATTGCTGTTTTCACTCTGAGCGCAGATCACAGGAGTGGTGCCATACTCAATCACAGCCTATTGCCACATTGGCCACGTCCCGTTGCCTCCTTGCTATGCTTAGATCAATCGATTTTCGCTTTCCTCCCTGTTTTTATTCCAATCACAGATCACAGGAGTGGTGCCACACTCAATCACAGCCTATTGCCGCATTGGGCACGTCCCGCTGCCTCCCTCTTTATCAAGTCGCATCTCGTTTTGAGGCGCCTCAATTAAAACTACACATTGGGCACGCCCCAGTGCCCCCCTCTTGATCAAATCGTGTCTCTCTTCACTCCTCTCTGTGTTCTTCTCTGAGCGCAGATCACAGGAGTGGTGCCATACTCAATCACAGCCGATCAGACAGCAGGCAGCGGGGCAGGGCAAGGTGAGCAAATGAGGAGAGGCCAGGCACATTCTGAAATCTTGCAAGAAATGTTTAAGAATCACCACAGAAGATGGGCTCCCTCCGTCCATCTGCCTGAATCATCTGTGCTTTATGACTCATTGTTCCTGTGTGCCAAAGTCCCCATTAGTCGACTTGAATATGCACCCAAAAGTCAATTGTTTATTCAATTCCGTAATTTCACTTTGGTCCCAGCAACGCCTTCACTCTCCTCCTCCCCCTCTCCTCCTCCCCCTCTCCCCCTCCCCCTCTCCCCCTCCCCCTCTCCCCTCTCCCTCCAACTCCTTCTCTGCCCCCTCCCCTTTTCCCACACATGCCATATAGGGTTTTGGTTTTCTATGGGTATCCTCAATCACGCCATCGTGTGCCCTGAGCAGCCCTCTCACCTCCCCCTCCTCCCCTTTTCTCCTCTTCCCCCTGCTCCTTTTCTCCTCTTCCCCCTGCTCCTTTTCTCCTCTTCCCCCTGCTCCTTTTCTCCTCTTCCCCCTGCTCCTTTTCTCCTCTTCCCCCTGCTCCTTTTCTCCTCTTCCCCCTGCTCCTTTTCTCCTCTTCCCCCTGCTCCTTTTCTCCTCTTCCCCCTGCTCCTTTTCTCCTCTTCCCCCTCCTCCCCTTTTCTCCTCTTCCCCCTGCTCCTTTTCTCCTCTTCCCCCTGCTCCTTTTCCTCTCTCCCCCCTGCTCCTTTTCCTCTCTTCCCCCTGCTCCTTTTCCTCCTCCCCTTCTTCCGCACACGCTACAGGGCTTTCTATGGGCATCCTCAATCTTGCCATCGTGTGCCCTCAGGTACCCACCTCCTTTCTTCATCTCAGAACACCACCACCTGTTCTGCCTTGCTTCCCTCCTCCTCCCGTTCCACCTTGGCCCTTTCTGAACGCCCCCCACTGTTCTGCCTCTCCACCTATTTTCCCTCACCCCTCCCTCCTTGCCTGCTCGCCCGCCCGCCTGCCAGCCCGCCCGCCCGCCTGCCAGCCCGCCTCACTCATGCCCCCGCTGCCACCTGTTGATGTGTCACTCACGTTTCTGGTTGGTCGCGGATTTCAATGCTTCAACCTCACTTCAATGTCTGAACCATGTGCCGCTCGCATCATCCCTTTTCCCACTCCCCACCATGCCCTTGCATGCACCCCCACCGCGCTCCACTCCTTGCCAGATCCTAGTCTCCCTCAGAGCAGGCCCTCGGTTGCTCTCATTGGCATTGCCAACCTCCAAAGTCGTCCTCACCTCCCCCCGTCACCCGCACCACTCTCCTTCCACCACCCCCTCCCTTCACCCCTACCACTCTCTTCTCCTCACTCACGCCAGAACCTTGTTTCCCTCGGAGTGATCCCCTAAAACTTTTGACACATCTCAAAAGTTTCCTCGTAGCGGGCCGCTGGGATGCTCTCTCCTTGTTGGCAGCAACATCCCGGCGTTTGTGTGTGACAAGTCGATTTCGCGGTGCTTAGAGTCCCATCCACCCACCCAACCCCTTCACCCCCACCCCTCCCGCCCTCCCTCTCTCCCCACCAGATCCTAGTCTCCCTCGGAGTGGGCCCTTGGGATGCTCTTTTCGGAAGCGGCAACGTGCCCGCCTTAATGCGTGATGATTCCCCCTTAATCCCTCCCCCACCCCGCCCCCTTACCCCCACCCTGCTCCTCTCCCCAACAGATCCTAGTCTCCCTCGGAGCAGGCCCCTGGGACGCTCTCTTTGGCGACGGCAATGTGCCTGCATTCGTGCTCGGAGCCCTCTTTGCCGTGTCTGCCGCTGTGCTCTCAGCAGCCCGCCTCTCCAAGCTCCCTCGCTCCACCTCCTCGACTGGACTCAGACGAGAGCTGCCCATGCACTGACCTGCGATTATAACACACGGAGGGGGACTGTTGCGTGCCCCCTGCATGTTGTACCTGTCCTCCTATCCAGCACGGCCTTCAAGATTCCTCGCTCCACCGCCTCGACTGGCCTCAGGCGAGAGCTGCCCATGCACTGACCTGCGATTATAACACACGGAGGGGGACTGTTGCGTGCCCCCTGCATGTTGTACCTGTCCTCCTATCCAGCACGGCCTTCAAGATTCCTCGCTCCACCGCCTCGACTGGCCTCAGGCGGGAGCTGCCCATGCACTGACCTGCGATTATAACACACAGAGGGGGACTGTTGCGTGCTCCCTGCATGTTGTACCTACATTCTCCCCCAAGCTCCCTCGCTCCACCGCCTCGACTGGCCTCAGGCGAGAGCTGCCCATGCACTAACTGCGAGTTGAATGGAACTGCCCATGCGTGACCTGCAATATGTATACCAGGGCCTATTTTATCAGGGTAAATCACCCTGATGCCCTGATTATCAGGGTGGTTTTTGGTAGTAACACTGATGCAGTAGGGTATTTTTTAGGGACCTTGATTTACCCTGATGTGCCAGGCTTTACGATTACGGCACACTGTCGCCTCAGGGGTGCCGTTCCTCTTATCGAGTTTTACCCTGAAGGCTGAAGCGAGTACCGGTACCAGCCAACCCCCCGCCTCCCCCCCCCCCCCCTTCCTTCCACTAACTAACCACCCTACCCCGTAACCTGGGATTCCCGTTTGCCAACTGTCGAAACTGTAAATTTCAGCACGACATGTCAGAATCAACAAGGGTGATTGAACTAGGAAAGAGTTGGGTACAAGTAGGAAACCCTAAACTTATTGTACCCCATAGTAAGGGCGTATTCCTATCCTCCTATCAAGAAAACCTCCTATCAAGCTCTCACTGGAAAATTCCCTAAACCCAAAATCTCTCGCTACTTTTACCAGGCAAAAGGTACAATCTTGATAGGAGGTTTCTTGATAGGAGGCCGTAGGAATACGCCCTAACTACCCCACTACAGCTTAAACAAACTGTAGCAGAAACGACATTTGACACAACCCCATAGGCAAAGTGGGGGAGAGCAAGGGGTCACAAGACCAGTCAAGAAAGGCAAAGCAAGCTCAGGGTGGATCACAACGTCACCACACTCACTGAGCACAAGTAAAGGGCCACAAGGCCAGTTCACATGCAGAGGCATATATGTAACACAAACATCACAGTGATCTCCACCTAGCAAAGCAAGCATGCAGGTATATATATATATAGATCACAGTACAAGTAAAGCCTACAGCAAGTGAGAAAAAGTGGGCACAAGCCCTAGCATAGTGCAGAAACGCTGATGATCACCAGATTGAAGTGCCTTGGTGAATATATCAGCAGTGTTGGCCCGAGTGGCCACGTAACGCAGACGAAGCTGACCACGCTGCTGCAACTCTCGAGCCAGGAAGTAACGCAGAGCGATGTGCTTCGTTCTGTGCTCCAGTCTGTGCTCCTCACACAAGGCAATGGCAGCCTTATTGTCGACGTACAGCACTGGAGGAGAACGAGGCCGCTCTCCCAGGTCGGTCAGCAGGTAGGTGAGCCAGCGTAACTCCTGTGCAGCCATGGCTGTGGCGTAGATCTCAGCCTCACAACTGGAGCTGAGAACTGAAGACGAGCGTGTAGAACGCCAAGAGACAGAGCCAGAGCCAAGACTGAAGGTGTAACCCTGTGACGACCGCTGAGTAGCCTGGTCGTCAACCCAAGAAGCGTCTGAGTGCCCAGTGAGGACAGCTGAGCTCCTCCCTCCAAGCACGAGCCCCATGCCTGATGTACTGCACAAGTAGCGGAGTACCCTCTTAGCAGCATCCCATTGCACCTTTCGGTGCCGACCAGGAGCCACGTAGCGAGCCAGAAGGCCAAGAGGGTACGCGAGGTCAGGACGAGTGCAAGTCATCAGGTACATGAGGCAGCCAACTAGCTCTGGGTAAGGACCATTCGGCTCTACGGACTCGTCCGAAGGTGGAGCTGAGAGCGAGTGACCTGTAGCCAGAGGAGTGGCCTGTGCCGAGGACCAAGTGAAGCCGAAGCGCTGAAGGACCTGTTGCACCATGTGTGACTGAGTCAGTGTGATGGTGCGGCGTGCTCTGTCCCGGGTGATCTGCAAGCCAAGGTAGCTGCGCAGCTCACCCAGGTCTGTGCATGTGTGTCTCTTCTGCAGCTCCGACTTCACCAGGGCGAGAGCCTCAGTGTCAGCAGTGGCAAAGACCAAGTCGTCGACGTACACGAGGATGTAGAACGGCGGCAGCGAAGTGTCGGTGCGCAGAAACAGCGACGGGTCAGCAGTAGAAGGCGCGAACCCAAGAGCCGCAAGTGTCGTCCTCAGTGTGTCGTGCCACTCACGTGGCGCCTGGCGGAGACCGTAGACCGGCCGCCGGAGACTCCACTGGGTACCAGGAGGAAACGACCCAGTGAAGCCAGGAGGGCGGCGCAGCCAGATCTCCTCGTGCAGGCTGCCCTGCAAGAAAGCTGTGTTGAAGTCAAGAGAGTGAAGCTCGTAGTCACGTTGAGCGGCAACGTGCAGTAGCACCCGAAGAGTGGTCATCTTCGGGGTGGGGGAGAAGGTCGGGAAGAAGTCTACTCCCTCTCGCTGACTGAAGTCTCGAGCAACGTAACGAGCCTTGAAAACAGGTGGAGAACCTGGCGGCCGCTTCACCCTGAAAATCCACATGCCACTGACGATGTTCGCCCCAGGAGGGGGAACCTCGTCGACGTAAGTGCCAGTGGACTTCCAGGATGCCATCTTTGGGTCCATGGCTGCCTGCCACTGAGAGGAGTACTCACCCGCGATCGCCTCAGCGTAAGAGCGCGGGGTCGGGATGTCTGGTGCATCCGGGTCTCCCTCAGGTGCAATCAGCATGGACACGAGATGAGGTACAGCAGCGGCAAAGCACTCAAACTCCTCTTGCCTGTCCTCAAGGACGTCCGTGCCTAGAGCACACTCACCCCCGACGGACGGAGGACAGACAGACTCAGACTCAGCAACAAGACTCGCGGCGTAGTCTAGACGACAGCGAGCAGCAAAGTCGACAAGCTCAGCAACTAAGGCAGACGCAGCAGCGGACTCAAAGGAAGGGTCAGTGACAGCCGTGGCCAGGAGACGCGTGACAGTAGGACTAGCAGCACGAAGAGAGTCAGACACCGGGTCAGCAAGGGCAGGAAGGGAGGACGCAGGAGGAGAAGGCAGAGGGACACGCTGTGGAGCAGTGGAAGGACGGAGCGTCATCTGGTGAGTGCCCGGGACAGCAGGAGGACGCTGACGTGGGACACGACGACCAGTGCGAGCAGCACGAACAGGCGACGCAGAACGAGACTCAGGCGACACAACGCTCCGTAAGACCTCCTGTCGGACCAGAGTAGGGAGAAGGACCAGGGAGTGGCGAGGCAGGCTGTAACTGTGACTGCGACTGGACAGGCGGAGGACACTCTAAGGAGGGAGCAGGACAAGGAGGAGGCGGCTGACCAAGAACCTGCTGAAGGAGCAGAACGAAGTACGGCCGCGGCCGTGAAGCGCCCCCAGAACCAGCAGAGACAGCACCAGAACCCCCCAGCAGCAGCTCCAACTCCGGTAGCATCACCAGCAGCTCCAGTAGTGCCAACTCCAGTACCCCCAGCAGCACCAGCTCCAGTCGCACCGTCGGCTCCAGCACCTGCAGGAGGACGAGCGTTAGCACCTCCAGCTCCAGCCCCTGCAACACCAACACCAGGGTCAGCAGCTACACCAACTCCAGTAGGCCCAGCGGCTTCAGCTCCACCGGCAGCTCCAGCAGCTCCAGCACCTCCAGCTCCAACTCCAGCACCAGCAGCACCTCCAGTAGCACCAGCTCCAGCAGCTCCAGCTCCAGCTCCAGCAGAACCCCCAGTCCCAGTAGCTACAGAACCACCTGTACAAGCACCTCCAGGACCAGAGGCTCCAGTACCTCCAGCAGCACCAGGGCCTTCAGCGGGCGGCACCTCAGCGATAGGAGCGCCGCTCCGGAGGCTGCAGCGTCGAGCGTACCACTCACGCAGCCGCTGTGAGGAGGGAGGCTCCGGCCGTGACACAGCACCCGCAGCACCACCAGCTCCAACTCCGGCAGAACCCCCAGCTCCAGCAGCCCCACGCTGAAGGTTGCAACGCTGAGAGTACCAGTCACGCAGCTGCTGTGAAGAGGGAGCGCCACCAGGCGCAGCACGGTCAGTCTCAGCTCCCCCAGGCTCAGCACCGCCAGTCTCAGCACCCCCAGGCTTAGCACCCCCAGTCTCAGCACCCCCAGGCTCAGCACCCCCAGTCTCATCACCCCCAGACTCAGCACCCCCAGTCTCAGCACCCCCAGACGCAGTACCTCGCGCAGGACCAGAGTCGAGAGCTACCTCGACAGGCTCGACTGGGTCTACCTGGGAAACACCTGAGGGAGCAGGACTGTGAGGATCTAGGATCGAGCTCAGAAAAGAGAGTTTGAATTGAATTGAATGATCACCTGGGTACAACACGAGGCTATATATAGGCTCGACACAAGGCCCAGTAACCAGGTGTTACGCGAAGGTTCCGCGGGTCGCGAAGCGTCCCGAACAGATCCTTCCCGAAATCGGTAGAAGGCAATTCGGTGGCAACCGAAAAGCCAGAATTCGGTGCACGCAACCTAGCTCGGTGCTATAACTATAATAAAATATAGGAAAGCACCTAGTCTAGGAAATCAAGCAATTCATGCATGCATATAATTATCCTATGCTAGGAATAGCATGATAAAGTAAATGTCAGAGGTCCACTGGTGATCCCCGATTGATCATAGGGAAGGGTTACAGGCACGTTGGCCTGGGGGGTTATGGGCGCACTGACCCGCTACTTAACAAGCCCTTTTATCCCAATGGTCTAGTGGTTGGGATTCTGACATGGTATCAGAGCGAAGGTCTCGGGTTCGAATCCCAGTGTGTGCACCTCGGGCATCCCAGTGCGGGGGGGGTGTCAGAGGTCCACTGGTGATCCCCG